TGGAGGTGTGGGGTGCGGAATTGTGAGATGTTGGGGCATGAGGTGTGAGTGAGTTAATATTTAACGTCACAGCGGCAATATCTCAGGCAAATGGTGACGAGAACAATCTGTACAAATAAATTAATGATAAATTGTAAAACCCTGTCAACAAAGGACAGTAAAATTACAAGAATATCACAGTTATGAACGTGAAACTAGCATGAAGAAATAAAACATTTCAATTTAGGAACACGTTACAATATAAAACATGGGCTATAGAAGGTTGACCACCATAATTAGGGTCCATGGGGACTTATGTAAGGTGTGAAGATGTTGGGTTGTGGAGGTGCGGGATGTTGAGGTGTGGGGGATATTACAGTTACACTATATCAGCACAAACCTTAATGACATGTACTTCTCATAAATCCTGACAGGACATCGTTGGGGATTTTCCTTATTTTCTGCAACTACCACACACTTAGGACTTACATTTTTGTGTTTCAGACCTCCGTTGTTTGTTTTTGTCACACCCTCAGAATATCGTAAATGCTTTTGACCATTCTTCATCACAATGCTGAAATTGCCTCTTTCCCCAGTTTTCAACGAATGATGTTCATCCCCACCCCGAAGACAAAAGCATATACCATTTATGTAAAACATTGTGTCCAGAAGTTTTTGTGGTGTTTCATCGCCCAGTATCCCCTTCTGCCATAGTAAATCCTCCTGTTCGCGAGTTATCACGTCAGCTTTTCGCTTATGAATACCGATTCCACTCTGGGCCAATGATCTCATTTTTGCGTCTAACATTTTCCGTAGAGGGGCAAATTCAAAATCAGCATTGAAGTTTACATCCCTACCGTTTTCCCGGAGGAAATACTGAATTGACATGAGGATTTCATGAATGGTATTTCCATGGTATTCGCCTCCTTTCTGGTTTTTCACTTCTGTCACAAACAATACCAATTGTTTACATAAATCCTCATCACTTAACTTCAAAAGAGTCTGCCCAAAACGTAAATCTGTGCCCTTTCTTTCCTTGTACCATGAGTCAAATATACGAACGGCCCACTGACATTTTTTTGTCAGTATTTTTATTTTTAGACATATTTTGTAAATCCATACATTCCTCGTTGGTCAGGGGCTTTCCAAAACGAGAAGAACTAGTGCAGCTGGAAAATTCTTTTTCAATTTGTTGTGAAGCGCGCAAAAGCTCTTCATCAGAGGAATCATTGCCTACTTTTATTTCAGATTTGTCAGAGTCATATTCAATATCAAAATCGGGCTTTGCATAGTCTGAATCTATCAGTTCTTGAAACTCAGAGTATATGTCTGTTTCATCAAATGAAATCTCAGCATCTTGTGAGAATTTGGTCTGGGTAAGGAATATTTCTCCATCGGTGTCGCTCGACATACTCACTGAACGTGTAAATCTCAATGTGGTTGTTGCAACTATCATGCACGTGTATACGCCGCCTTATAAAGGTCTCCAATAGTCGCGATATGCGAAATGCACGTGCTTCTCGCGCTTTTTCACACCGCTGTAGCTGCTCTATTTTTTAAGACGCCAATATCCAACAACTTGGATAACGGAGTCTTGAATTTAGGTTTAAGTAGAATAGACTCCTCAAACACGACAATAGTTGTGCACGAAGTCTAGTCCTCGGCGCTACCGCGCCTCGGACTAAACATCGTGCACAACTATTGTCGTGTTTTCGGAGTCTATTCTATACATACATGGTGGTAGGGCGAAGTGTATTTCTTTTCTAAGATGCCAAATTTAATACTTTCTAAAGATAATTGCGATTAATTTAAGGCAGAAAACAAACGACGGTGTCGGTGACCTAAATTAAGAATCCTCGCACAGGGCTAACTGGCGCGCTGTTCTATTGATGTGTCTGCCCCCTACGTTAAGACGAACGTTACCAGAAAAAAACAAATGATAACAGTTTGATGACGGTTTACGTTCGGATTAAATATCTTCTCTGAATTATTTTGATTACATCTGTCATTAACGTAAACCATATGGGGCAATATGAACGTTGCATTTCTACTACCAGCGTAAGTTTAGATCAGTACATCCAGAGGAAGTTGGGTAGTCAAGCGACATTCCACAGTTGCATTGTGGGAATGTAAACATTACGAACGTTACCGTGTCGCTGAAAACTTGTGAGTTGAAATGACACATTTTAACCGTCGTAAAACATAAACGTAATGTTTCCACCAGTGATGTTAGCTGCGTGAAGCAACAACAAACCAAGAAACTGGATGCAACGGTGTAGTTTACTGTAGGAGGCCGTACGAGGCGATGACAACTGACATGCATCGTGACGTCGCTTACATTGTGACGTAATGTAAAATGGTTCGATTACGAGGGGGGCACACTAGAATGGCGCAGAGACGGGATAACGTCATTCAATTGTTACGTCATCAAAAAACTATACCTTTATTGTCTGATAATGTATTTTTTTTTTCGATTGTTCTAACCGCTAGGCATCTTAGAATTGCACATATTTGATTGTATTTTTGGTCTTGGCTGTTTCCTATTCCTATTATTAGTACCGATCTATGAAACTGCTTTGAGGCTTATGTCCGACATGGCAGAGGGAGACATTGCTGCAGAGCTTCATGATCAGGGTATAACATCAGTAGAACGTTTCACCGTCCAGAAAGAGTGAGTGAGTGGATTTAGTTTTACGCCGCACTCAGCAATATTCCAGCTATATGGCGGCAGTCTGCAAATACTCGAGTCGGGACCAGACAATCTAGTGATCAACAGCATGAACATCGATCTGCGCAATTGGGAACCGACGTCAAGAAAGAGGGTATCGTAGTAAAAATCTCTTGACGTTTGCTCGTGTTTCCCTGCGGCAGTCAATTAAAGATGGATATTTTAACATAGGAATGAACGTATATGTTCCCGGTCTGCTCCGGTGTTATAAATGCTTGAAGTTCGGTCATGGGTTAAACTCTTGTCGTGGTTGTGTGATATGCCATCGACGTGGTGAGAGCCACGACAACAAATACTGTGACAAGACTGACTGACTGACTGACTGAGTTTGGTTTTACGCCGCTTTTAGCAATATTCCAGCAACATCACGGCGGGGTACACCAGAATTGGCCTCACACATTGTACCCATGTGGGGATTCGAACCCGGGTCTTCGGCGTGACAGGCCAACGCTTTAACCACTAGGCTACCCCACCGCCCTACTGCGACAAGAATTGTAAGTGCGCTAACGGCGATGGTGCCTCATCTTAATCCCGCCCTGTGTGGAAAAAAGGGTAAACAATGTTATCAACATGTGTGTAGGCTGCCTTATCTGTGCAGTCCTGCCAAGACTCTTAGTTGCGTATTATGACTAAATTGACACTTCCCAGCAAAATGTCAAATTTAACCACAAACTCACTCTCATAGCTTCACAGTACTAGGGGCCTGGTAGTCTCGGTATTATTTTCCTTTACAACTGTAGTGGATCAATGTGGAAACAGAAAAGGAAAATTCTGTAGAAAGATTTCATTCATATTTAAGTGTTAAAACATCAACCAAATCTTGTGTCTCAGTGATTATATCTCCAAGAACAAATTACCCGTGAAGATTCGGGCTAGAATTGATCTTCAGTAACCTATGCTTGTTGTAAGAGACGACTAACGGGATCAGGAGGTCAGACTCGCCAACTTGGTTTACACATGTCTTCGTATCCCAATTGTGTAGATCGATGTTCATGTTGTTGATCACTGGATTGTCTGGTCCAGACTTGATGATTTACAGACCGCCGCCATATAGCTGGCATATTGCCCAGTGCGGTGTAAAACTAAACTCACTCAAAACAATCAACCCAGGTGATGATCCACCTTTATCAAGAAGGAACTTCGCCTGGGCTCATTGGTCATTATATGAGACTGTGTGTTGAACGCTAAAACATTACCTTTTAAGTGAAACAGTATTGTTGTGTAAACTAAACAAGAAACTAACAAACTGAAGAAATACCTTTTCGTTAATACCTTGAAGACTTTTTAGATATTTGGTGGAACAATAAGTGAATGAAGTATGTGAATTTCCCAGCCATATCGTGGCTGAACTAAGTTCTGACTGAGTGAGTTTGGTTTTACGCCGCTATTAGCAATATTTCAGCAACATCACAGCGGGGAACACCAGAAATGGGCTTCACACATTGTAACCATGTAGGGATTCGAACCCGGGTCTTCGGCGGAAACAAGTTCTGAATTCATGACAAATACCTATAAAATATAATACCATGTCAACGAAGAACAGTAAAACAACTAGCATATATCATACCAGAACAGGCGCACTGACTTGGTTGACACATCGTAACTCATTTGTGTAGCTCAAGTCTTATTCGCTAATTCACAGGGTTAGCTTTGGGCAATCGTCGTTTTCAATCCGGAGTTGACAGGGTTATAAAGCAGGAAAGTATAACTCAACCGATCCTAGTTTTCGTTCGAAGTGTGGATCTGAGAATGGTGGTAGAAAGCCAAGTTCGACTCCAGGGAGTTTACACTGGAGTTTCGTCAGAGCTTACTTGTGGATCAGCCGGGCCATATCGTTTCTTCTCAAAGCTTTTGTCAATGTCAAGTTCCACAGAATGATGGTCTTCCAGAGAGGTAAAGTCGGATGAGAAGCAATGTATATTTGAGGATTCTGGAATAAGCCCTTTCAAGATCAGTCTGTCTATATCTGATATCATGCGTGAGTGAGTGAGTGAGTGAGTGAGTAAGTTTAGCTTTGCGCCGCACTCAGCAATATTCCAGCTATATGGCGGCGGTCTGTAAATAAGTGAGTCTGGACCAGACAATCCAGTGATCAACAGCATGAGCATCTATCTGTGTAACTTGGATGCAATGACCTGTCAACCAAGCCAGCGAGCATGACCACCTAATCCCGTTAGTCGCCTCTTACGACAAGCAAGGATTGCTGAAGATCAATTCTAACCCTGGTCTTCACGGGTACAAATGCTTTAGACCCGGTTGTCAGGCCTGTCAACAAGGACTCAGAACAAGCAGAAACAAACCAATCTTTATTGACTTTCATAAAAACTTTACAGCACTCTTCAAAATAGCAAATAACAGTTCAGTCTAAGTACCATGCATGCATACATGATCATGTCAGAGAATCTACACAAATGGCTTTTAGGCCAATCAAAACACAGACATGAGTTCTACATCCAGTAGATAATAGACAACAGGGTACCATTGTACAAAGTGATCTTAGCGCTAAGATGATTGTTACTCACATAGCTTACCAGAGACTGAGCACTTCAGTTAGGTTGAACAAGGGCACCCTTGAGTGTTTTGCTGCAGTAATGTTTGTACTGGAAACAAACTGTCATCAAAATGAAATTGATGAATATTGATTTGAAACCTGTAAGCTTATTTGAAACCTCATGCATAGTGTGTATAAGTTCATAGAGGTTTGAAACTTCTGATTGATCATACAATGTGGTTAGTTTCATTGTACCAAATTTAAACGTTTTGGTAGTGGTGTAAAAGAGGTTCAACAGTCTGTCATGGGGTTAATGACTTTATGTTTTGAAACATTCAATTTTTTACACTTGAACTCAGTTTTGCAAAATGATGTCCATTATGTCCTGCAATCAAAATTTGCGTTGAAACTAGAAATGAATCCTGGTGGAAACCAGTCATGTTATGATTCACTCACTCATGTTATGATTTACTCATGTTATGATTCACTCATGTATTTGGTGAATCGAACCATATCCCTTCATGAATTCAATTTATTATTTGTGGTCACTATTTTTTTTATTTAAATTATTTTGTTGTTTAAATAAGTGAGATATGCAAAATGGAATATATCCAGGTCATGCAGTAGCGTAACTTGTGATACTATGCCAAGGCCCCATTATAGCACTGTTGTTAGGCTTTAAGCGGCATTGTTCGCAATAATTACGTTTTGCTTTATAGAACATATCATTTAAATGTTTCAACTTAATTAATTACATCATACGTTTGTTATTTTCATTTCTTGATATCAAACATAAATTATTCATGAATACATATTTGTAGTCGTTAACATATATATGCAAAACATAACACAGCTGCCTCAAAGCATGTTTGTTGTAGCTCTAGCAGAAACATCAGAGAAATATTTCTTTCATACTCGGTTTTGTTTGAAAGCAAACTGGAGAGGTTGGAAGAATTCACACAATTGGTTCCTGATAATTCTTGGATAGTTATATGAATATTATGCAAGTACTATGCTACACATACATGACAGGAAAGAGCTCAATACATACCACTCCCAAATCTACAGTCTACACATTTTCCCTCGGTTATATTAATATTGTAGCAGATATAAATATTTGTGAAACATGAAAAACAAAGTGATTAACACATTTTATTTAAAGTGAAGTGTTACAAGGTGCACGTGGAGTCACTACATGAAAGAAAACCTGCTGTGTGTTTATCAGCGCTCCTGGTCACCTGCATATTGGCTTAAAACATGCAAAATAAATATGCATATCCCAATTAATTCAAAGCTATTTGCCTACAACTATGCATGAACAAATGTAACACCAAATAGTTAAACAACTTTCTTACAACTGCCTATTTATGTATCCTTACAAACTTGCGTACCGGTTTACAGATGTATACTTACGTCATCATACGTACTGGAACGCCATTGCAGCGGGTAATGCATTAATAAGGTGTTTTTGTTCATTGGATATGCATGTGACGTACATGGGACAGACATACACATGTGGCGTACATGGGACAGACATACACATGTGGCGTACATGGGACAGACATACACATGTGGTGTACATGGGACAGACATACACATGTGGCGTACATGGGACAGACATACATATGACATCCATGTGACAGACGTACATGTGATATCCATGTCACATCCATGTGACACACGTGACATGTGATACACATGTGATGTACATGTGACATTCTTGTGACACATGATACACACGTGACATCCATGTGACACACACACGACATCCATGTGACACATGCGACATCCATGTGACACACATATGACATCCATGTGATACACATGTGACAGACATACATGTGACACATATGTGACAGGCATACATGTGACACACATGTGACAGACAGACATGTGACACACTTGTGACAGACAGATATGATGCACATGAGGAGATACATATTGGAAATCACCGGCTACAGCATTATCAGCAGAAATATTAGAGAAATGTTCACTAACTGGTATAAAAAATATTTTACAAATGAGAGTACAAATATTGTGAGTTCCAAAGAAAACTATCAATTACCTAATGAGAATGATCTTAAAACTTCAAACTGAACTTAAACTTTAAATCCTTGATACAAGATAATAGTTAATCAATGAAACACATCAGGTACAGATTTTGTCAACTCAATAGTCCATGATGATTTGATTTTATTCATAACAAAATCACATTACTCATATGGCTTTAGCTAAACCCTAAATGGGCCCCAGCCTTACATGAGCCTCAAAGCCAGGTAGGGGAGATAACTCTTACTAGAAGACTGCAAGGGTAGCAAAAGATACACACTTGCGTAGCTACAGTAAGTGAGTGAGTGAGTTTACTTTTACACTGCACTCAGCAATATCACAGCTATATGGCGGCGGTCTGTAAATAATCAAGTCTGGAGCAGACAATCCAGTGATCAACAGCATAAGCATTTGCTTGGGAACCGATGACATGTGTCAACCAAGTCAGCGAGCCTGACCACCCGATCCCGTTATGATCAAAAATTGGATGAAGGCCTCATCACCACTCATCTTGAAAGATGAAGTTAGTGAGGAAACAGTGTTAGTCTATAGGCTGTACAGTAAGGAGGTAAGGTCAACACCAGTAAGAATGAGTGTTTCAATGCCATCATAGGCAGTATACTGCCCAAAAAACCCGTTAAAACTTCACAATCCTTGTAACATGTCAGTATAGAGAAACACATCCCTGGCTTCCTGTGAAACAAGTTTTGATTATAGTGTTGTAAACACAAACATACCCTAGCAAAAATCAGAATACAGAAATGTACCCTAGGATGATTCCATTTCGCATGGTGCCGTTTTCTTGATCAAAACCGGCATGGCCAGATGTGTGCTGCCGCTGAGAGTAATACTTTTGCATTCTTTGCGTCTTTAAAAAAAACATACACAGTAACGAATAATTTGCGATGTACAGTACTGCTCGCAATCAGTTGAACAACAACTACCGTATATATATATATACGTTTTCTGCATTGGGTTGCGGAATATTGACTCGTTCGTCGTTTAGGGTACTGGGTATGTTTCTGTATTTTGATTTTGTTTGGGGTACATTTCTGCATACAGAAACATATCTGGGGTACATATCTGTAGTACCTGAGCTGATAATGACCCCTTCATAAACTGATAGATTATAGTCTTGATAGACGGTTAGGGTCTCCCAGTTGTGAAATGTAAGAGTGCTATCTTATCAATCTGGGCCCTGGACAACGTACAGGGATGATCTTATTGGGGAGGAAGTCATACATTAAAAGGGTGAGTACAGTTCAACGCTGCTTTAAACAATATTCCAGCAGTGTCACAGAGGGGAGACACACCAGAAATGAGCTTCACTCATTGTACCCATGTGGGGAATCGAACCCAGGTCTTTAACCACTAGGCTACCCCACCGCCCCCTGATTGGTTGGATGAAACGTGATGGTAGTTAGCATGTAGATATGATTTTAATGAGAATAACAATTATTGCCAATTTTTCCACAGCATCAACATAATTACTCCTAGTTCAGATCAATGTCACCCATATCCCACACCTAATACACATTGGCTATCAGGACTTGGTGCCGACTTTGAGTTGTGCGTCTTCAGCTCGGAGAGCATCCAGAAGCCCTTGCTGATCATGGAAGAACTCCTTGGCGAGACCACAGGTGGCGTTGGTGCACATGGGACAGCGCAGTAGTAGCTGTGGGGAGGACACCTTCTGGGATGACAGGTGCTTCTTCACGATGTCAGCTATTGCCTGGAACAAGATTGGTGAGTGAGTGAGTGAGTGAGTGAGTTTGTGAGTGGGTGGGTGAGTGAGTGAGTGAGTGAGTGAGTGAGTGAGTGAAGCAGTGAGAGAGTGAGTTGGGTTTTACGGGCTTTAGCAATATTCCAGCAATATCACGCCGCTTTTGGGGAGACACCAGCAATATCAAATGGGCTTCACACATTGTACCCATGTGGGGAAATGAACCCTGTCCTTTGGGATGACGAGCGTACCAACTATCAGGCTACCCCACCGCCCTAATTTAATAGTTATCTGTTGCGTTGTTTAACACTGCACACAGCACTATTCCGTCTACAACTGTGGCCTGCAAATATTCATGTCTCGACCACTGGTTGGCATGGTGAGCAACTGCCACACCATCTGGGTAATACTGTAAATCATGAAATTAATGCAAGCATTTTATTATTAAAAATGCGTCTGTACTCTTCCGGCATTATTATAATGACGCATTTCAGTCCGACATGTCTACTAAATAAAAGACAGAAAACATAAATCTGTTGACACTACACATTACACCAATACAGATCACTTCCTCATTACAGGTATCTCAAACCACATATAATTATCACTGGTTACAATAACTGGTCATTGTTTAAAGTCACTCAAGCACATCAGCCAGGCCGGACATTCTCCAGGCACTTGTTTGTTGTACCTTCATAGATGTTGTCATAAGACAAGTAGTAGCAAGCAATCACATGATCAAACATGTCAGCGTAATCAAAACATCGTGAGCTCATTTCCATTCATTGCTTAACAAGCTCAATTCATTTTACTATCAACACAGATTCCTGAGCTTGGATTAATTTTGTGACGCATTTTAGACTGGACCCTCGCACTCGCATTAAATTCGTGACGCATAAATTTCATGATTTACAGAATAACATGCATTGAGTCTGCATATGGCAACTAGTCAAATTGTTTGCTGGGGACCTTTGTTTGTCTTGTTGTTTAATGCCACACTCAGCTGTACGATCCAGTGATTGATATTGTGAGCAAACCATGAAATCAGGGTATGATTACACACAATCAGTAAAGTTAAAGCCATTGGTCAAATTAAAACTAGAGACATTGCTGGAGACATTGTTTACCCTGTAATGCCCACAAGGCACAGAGGGCCATAGCATTGAAAAAGGGCCATAATCAAAGCCTGGGCCTGTGTGGCCCCATTTCTGGCATCCGTGATATTGCTGGAGAGTGAGTGAGTGAGTGACTTTAGATTCATACCACACTCCAGCTATATGGCAACGGTCTGTAAATAATCGAGCCTGGACCAGACAATCCAGTGATCAACAGCATGAGCATCAATCTATGCATTTGGGATACGATGACGTGTCAACCAAGTCAGTGAGCCTGACCACCTAATCCTGTTAGACGCCTCTTACGACAAGAATGGGGTGGTGAAGACCAATTCCAACCTGGATCTTCACAGATTATTGCAGGAGAAGTGACATACAACCAAATTGTTTACGTATGACCAGTTGGTAAAGATCTACATACCTCGATGAAGATGGGGTTGTCATTCAGGGATGCTGCCCGTCGAATATTCTTCACTCCCACCTGGCAACATATGGAGGTCCATCACCATGACAACAATAACTTAAGTAAGGGTAGAAATGTCTCCCTCTCAAAATACCGATAAACAACACAGCATTATTCCAGAAATACTATCTTGTTTGTTGGGTCCTTAATGCTGCCCTCAGCAATATTTCAGTTATATAGCAGAGGTCTGTACTGACTGAGTGAGTTTAGTTTTACGCTGTAATCAGCAATATTCTAGCTATATGGTGGCGGTCTGTAAGTAATTGAGTGTGGACCAGACAATCCAGTGATCAACAGCATGAGCATTTATCTACATAATTGGGAAAGCACTAAACACCAGCAAGAATGTTTCCAATTTCAATCAAGATTTGTCCACATTTCTAACAAATAAAATAAATAAGTCTGTAATGAAGTATTGTACATTCATTTAAAAGAATATATAATTTTGAACAAATTCGAAGATTTTCAAGCTATTTTAGTGAATTTCAAATCTCTTCAAGGTTTACACTCAAATCAAGGCTTTTCTGTTAATTATTTACATTAAATTGGATCGTTGGAAAATTTCATTACTTCTACCTCTCCCCCAATCAGTACAACATGCATGTACACTAGCATGTGTCATTTGATTCTGTACCTCCTCTACAAGTGAGTGAGTTTAGTTTTACGCCGCACTCAGCAATATTCCAGCTATATGGCGGCAGTCTGTAAATAATCGAGTCTGGACCAGACAATCCAGTGATCAACAGCATGAGCATCGATCTACGCAATTGGGAACCGATGACATGAGTCAACCAAGTCAGTGAGCCTGACCACCTGATCCCGTTAGTCGCCTCTTATGACAAGCATTGGTTACTGAAGACCTTCACGGGTCTCATCTATGAGCCTACCTCCCGTCATTACAATGTGTTTAAACTCAACTCTATTCTGTAATCTCTTTGAGCCTATCTCCAGAGTCAGAAACTTTTCAAAATTTCCCACCAGACCACAGGACCCGTGAGTGGACAATAATTAGTGGTTCTGTCTGTACTTCACTGGTCCACTGGAGTGATTGTGAATGTATAACTGGTTCCTGTTTTCCCATGCACTTTGACTTGCGAGGATTACATTATTTGAATCCTCGCTAAAATATATGATCTCACTTCTTAATTTAAAGACAATTTTAATTATATAGATGGGAAAAAATTCACTAGCCACCAGGACCACTGGAAACTTATCATTTAGTGGTCCTGATGAATTCTTACTAGTCAGGGACTACAGGACCAGCGTAAATTTCACACACTGTACCTCCAGTCAGTTCAGTACAATGTGTTTGAACTGTGGATTCTGTACTTCCTCTACTCCCTTACCTCTCCTCCCAGTTCCTACTTCCTCTACTCCCTTACCTCTCCTCCCAGCTCGTACTTCCTCTACTCCCTTACCTCTCCTCCCAGCTCGTACTTCCACTACTCCCTTACCTCTCCTCCCAGCTCCTGAGCGTATTCCAGGTCCAGCTCGTACAGGGTCTCGATGTGGTCGCTGGTGAAGGCGATGGGCACCAGCAGTAGGTTCTTCCTGCCTCTCGTCACCAGCCCCTTGATGGCCTCGTCTGTCTGAGGGCTCAGCCACGGCAATGGCCCCACCTGCAAATTAGGATTTTATATCTACCATTTCAGCTTCTTAGAGTGGCTACCATGGTTTATCAAATTTACCTTCAGGAATAATTCAGCTATATGGATGGTCTGAAATACCTGATTGTGGACCAGGCAATGCAGTGATTGACGCTGTGAGTATGATTCAACACATTTATCAAGTCCCCAGGTCTGACTGTCAGATCCTGTTGGTTATCGCCTACCATGATCATGTGTTGCTGAACACCTATTCTAAGCAATATCTTCATGCTATTCAACTAAAGAAAACAATATTCAAAGAAAATGTCTGTATGCGCTCTTGATCTACATCAGTCTGTTGGCATTACTGTGACATGCCTACTGCCTATCATGGACTGCCATATAAGTGTAGGCCTGACTGTGACATGCCTACTGCCTACCTTGGACTGCCACACCAGTCTGTACATGTGACATGCCTACTGCCTACCTTGGACTGCCCCACTTGTCTGTATGGGTGACTGTGACATGCCTACTGCCTACTTTGGACTGCCACACCAGTCGGTACATGTTACATGCCTACTGGTTACCTTGGACTGCCACACTAGTCTGTACATGTGACTGTGACATGCCTACTGCCTACTTTGGACTGCCACACTAGTCTGTACATGTGACTGTGACATGCCTACTGCTTACCTTGGACTGCCACACTAGTCTGTACATGTGACTGTAACATACCTACTGCTTACCTTGGACTGCTACACTAGTCTGTACATGTGACTGGAACATGCCTACTGCCTACCTTGGACTGCTACACTAGTCTGTACATGTGACTGTAACATGCCTACTGCTTACCTTGGACTGCCACACTAGTCTGTACATGTGACTGTAACATGCCTACTGCTTACCTTGGACTGCCACACTAGTCTGTACATGTGACTGTAACATACCTACTGCCTATCATGGACTGCCACACTAGTCTGTACATGTGACTGTAACATGCCTACTGCTTACCTTGGACTGCCACACTAGTCTGTACATGTGACTGTAACATGCCTACTGCCTATCATGGACTGCCACACTAGTCTGTACAGGTGACTGTAACATGCCTACTGCTTACCTTGGACTGCCACACTAGTCTGTACATGTGACTGTAACATGCCTACTGCTTACCTTGGACTGCTACACTAGTCTGCACTCGTGACTGTGACATGCCTACTGCCTACCTTGGACTGCTACACTAGTCTGTACTCGTGACTGTGACATGCCTACTGCCTATCATGGACTGCCACATAAGTGCGGTCCTGACTGTAACATGCATACTGCCTACTTTGGACTGCCACACCAGTCTGTATGCATGACTGTGACATGCCTACAACCTACCATGGACTGCCACTTAAGTGCAGGCTTGACTGTGACATGCCTACTGCCTACCATGGACTGCCACACACTAGTCTGTATGCGTGACATGCCTACTGCCTATCTTGGACTGCCACACTAGTTTGTACGCCTGACTGTGACATGCCTACTGTCTATCATAGACTGTCACATAAGTGTAGGCCTCACTGTGACATGCCTACTGCCTACATTGGATGCCACACTAGTCTGTACACATGACTGTGACATGCCTACTGCCTACCTTGGATTGCCACACCAGTCTGTAGGCATGACTGTGACCCAGGTCCTCCATGACGCTCTGTACCGTGGCTGCTACTTCAGTGCTGTATGGATCTCCACGATTCACAACCTGAATAACACCAAAATTGGTTGCACTGACATGTCGCTGCAAAAAAACCCAATAAATTCTGAAAACTACCAAATGCATGACAGGTGTACTCAGAAAATTGATTAAGATGACAACTCTAGTACACACAGGAAAGAATTTTTCTTGTGAATGATGAAAGGCTATGTAAGAAAACTATTTTAAACACAACTACTTGTATTTAGTACATACAGTGAAGAAGTTTTCCCACCTTGTGAATGAGGAAAGGCACTGTAGGAAAACTATATTCCACACAACTACTTATATTTAGTACATACAGTGAAGAAGTTTTCCCACCTTGTGAACGAGGAAAGGCACTGTAGGAAAACTATTTTCCACACAACTACTTATATTTAGTACATACAGGAAAGAAGTTTTCCCACCTTGTGAACAAGAAAAGGCACTGTTGGAAAACTATTTGCCACACAACTACTTATATTTAGTACATACAGGAAAGAAGTTTTCCCACCTTGTGAACGAGGAAAGGCACTGTTGGAAAACTATTTGCCACACAACTACTTATATTTGGTACATACAGGAAAGAAGTTTTCCCACCTTGTGAACGAGGAAAGGCACTGTAGGAAAACTATTTGCCACACAACTACTTATATTTGGTACATACAGGAAAGAAGTTTTCCCACCTGGTGGATGACAAAAGGATATAAAAATTAGGGGTCAATGTAAAGCCACAAGACAAATTGTTTATTCAATTTCAGGTGAACATGTTGTAAGCTGATGATTTTGGAGAGATTGTGACGACTAATGAGTGACTTAAAGCCTGTTGCACACTGGGTGTCTTAGATTCAGAGAGTGAGATTGTCGGAAATGGGTCCAAATAGCACTGTTTTAACGCAATCCAATCATTTTAAAGAACCTGTCAGATTAACTAGCATCAACATTTGATTGAACTGTCGAAGGACAATGATGAAGATTTGAAACACTTGAAATCTAAGACAACAAAATACATGACAGGAGACAGAAAGGAGAACAATGTCGCGACTATCTCTACACAATCCTTACCTTTAAGGGCAGTGAATGGGCGGAGAAGAGAATAACAATGTCGCGACTATCTCTACACAATCCTCACCTTTAAGGGCAGTGAATGGGTGGAGAAGAGAATAACAATGTCGCGACTATCTCTACACAATCCTCACCTTTAAGGGCAGTGAATGGGCGGAGAAGAGAATAACAATGTCGCGACTATCTCTACACAATCCTCACCTTTAAGGGCAGTGAATGGGCGGAGAAGAGAATAACAATGTCACGCCTATCTCTACACAATCCTTACCTTTAAGGGCAGTGAATGGGTGGAGAAGAGAATAACAATGTCATGACTATCTCTACACAATCCTCACCTTTAAGGGCAGTGAATGGGCGGAGAAGAGAATAACAATGTCGCGACTATCTCTACACAATCCTCACCTTTAAGGGCAGTGAATGGGCGGAGAAGAGAATAACAATGTCGTGCCTATCTCTACACAATCCTCACCTTTAAGGGCAGTGAATGGGCGGAGAAGAGAATAACAATGTCGCGACTATCTCTACACAATCCTCACCTTTAAGGGCAGTGAATGGGCGGAGAGAAGAATAACAATGTCAGCTATCTCTACACAATCCTCACCTTTAAGGGCAGTGAATGGGCGGAGAAGAGAATAACAATGTCGCTGACTATCTCTACACAATCCTCACCTTTAAGGGCAGTGAATGGGCGGAGAAGAGAATAACAATGTCCGCGACTATTTCTACACAATCCTCACCTTTAAGGGCAGTGAATGGGTGGAGAAGAGAATAACAATGTCGCGACTATCTCTACACAATCCTCACCTTTAAGGGCAGTGAATGGGTGGAGAAGAATAACAATGTCAGCGACTATCTCTACACAATCCTCACCTTTAAGGGCAGTGACTGGGCGGAGAAGAGAATAACAATGTCGCGACTATCTCTACACAATCCTCACCTTTAAGGGCAGTGAATGGGCGAGGAGAAGAGAATAACAATGTCAGTGACTATCTCTACACAATCCTCACCTTTAAGGGCAGTGAATGGGCGGAGAAGAGAATAACAATGTCACGATTATCTCTACACAATCCTCACCTTTAAGGGCAGTGAATGGGCGGAGAAGAGAATAACAATGTCGCGACTATCTCTACACAATCCTCACCTTTAAGGGCAGTGAATGGGCGGAGAAGAGAATAACAATGTCACGACTATCTCTACACAATCCTCACCTTTAAGGGCAGTGAATGGGCGGAGAAGAGAATAACAATGTCGCGACTATCTCTACACAATCCTTACCTTTAAGGGCAGTGAATGGGTGGAGAAGAGAATAACAATGTCGCGACTATCTCTACACAATCCTTACCTTTAAGGGCAGTGAATGGGCGGAGAAGAGAATAACAATGTCGCGACTATCTCTACACAATCCTTACCTTTAAGGGCAGTGAGTGGGCGGAGAAGAGAATAACAATGTCATCTCTATCCTCCTCTGGGAATCTGGCAATCTCGTCTCTAATGTTTTGAGCAAAAGCCTGGAAAAAGAATAAAAAAGATTTACAAAAAATATTATAAACACAAGCCTTACCTTAGTTTACGTAAGTGAGTGATAGGATTTTACGCCACTTTTAGAAGTCTTTGTGCTGACCGGCAGTATTCCAGCAATATCACGGCGGGAGACATCAGAAATGGGCTTCACACATTGTACCCATATGGGGAATCGAACCCGGGTCTTCGGCGTGACGAGCCAATGCTTTAACCACTAGGCTACCCCACTGCTCCTACTTTACTTGAAAGAAGATATGTTATTCCAACTCATTTCCTCCAGCTAGAATATTGCTAAAAGTGGCGTAAAACTATACTCATTCACTCATTTCTCTCTGCAGGAATATCTAAAAATTGCAAATGCAAACTCTCCTCTCAGGCGGTCAGCACAAAGACTTCCAAAGTCTCAGAAAACCTGATGAAAACATTCAGAACATCACGTTTGATTTCTGTATCTTAAAAATGAGTGTAAATGGGCAGTTCCAGATGCACATTGCCAGAGCCATTCTTCACAACACCATAAAATATGTCCAGTTTATTTTTGACGCTTTGTACTTTGGTATTTCGTGTGAGACAAACTTTCAGACTCCAGGAGTGAGGTGAGGGAGCGAGTATGTTTTTTACGCCGCTTTTAGCAATATTCCAGGAATATCACGGCATGGAACACCAGAAATGGGCTTCACACAATTTACCCACGTGGGAATCGAACCCGGGTCTTCAGCATGACAACCAATGCATTGACCACTGAACCCTAGGACTGAGGTTGTGAAGAACTATGGCCATTTTGGTCTGAGAGTGAGACTGGTTTTCGCTGCTTTTAGCAGTATTTCAGTATTATCACATCAGAAGTTTTACTCGTTTTTTCACTAGCGACAAATTCAACATTGGGTTTCAGTGTAATAAGATAATGAATAAATCATCAGCCTACCCAACTGCCCTTTCAGCTGACACCTGACCGGTTCAGATACAATACACCCTTCGCATTGATTGAGGAGTCAAGAGATACAGCAGGATTTTATGTGACGCACAAAATTAGTGAATGGACAGAAAATCCCAGACACCACGTCTGGAGAGACACACAAAAATACCTACAGCACATCAAGAGAAGTTATCTGTGTCTGGTAGTGGTGGTCCGATTAATTGAAATAATCAAAGATTGGTCGCAGTGACTAAACGACCAAGCAATCGATCATGTTTTCTCATAATCGAACACAAACAATTCTGGAACACTTTTTGCATTAACAATATTTTTCACAAGGTTGGTTTTATCAGTTACATTTCATGAGCACTACAAGCTCGTTCCAAGTCATGATTGAATTTATCTTAAAGGCCCAAAGAAAGTTATGTTCCTAACATATTAGTCATCCTTTCAAAATGTGAAATTTGCCCCCAAAAACCCTAAGAACTACATGTTTTTTCTTTATGTTTATGTGCATTAACAAAAATAACCAGGAAAAATCATAAATGACGCTAACCAATTATTTTCGATGATTGATCGGTTGTAATGAAGCAATCATCAATTATAAGATTTTAACTAATTCCCAACACTAGTGTCAAGTATTCCACCCATCAGTCCACATGACCACTGTCCATATGACCACTGTCTATATGATCATTGATACATTCCAGGCTCTAAGTAAATATCTGAATGTACAGTACACTACAACATTTCTATACTTTACATGAACCTCACATTACCAACAAGGACCTGGAAAATGTATTGATGGGGTCCCCTGGACCTGTGCTTTAGTGAGTTCAAGGTAAAACCCTGGTTAGAGTGAGCTCTTATAAAGGACTTGTCAGATCTTGATGCAGGGGGATACTCATCAAAGAGTAAGATACAGTTGTAATGCAGTTGAACACACACATGGGCAAATATTTACCAAAGGGAGATAATCCATAAGTTTTTATCAAATTACCTCCCTTTGATGGTCGCCTGAAGGTTTGACTACATTAAGTTCAGAATCAGTTGTTTGGTCATCAGTTTTTGTGGAGATGATTGAATATAGATTTAGAAATCAGGCAGCTGTGAGTGAGTGAGTGAGTGAGTGAGTGAGTATGGTTTTACGCCGCTTTTAGCAATATTCCAGCAATATCACGACGGGGTACACCAGAAATGGTCCGGCAGCTGTGACTGGATCATATTGTGTAAGTATATCCAGTATTTATTGCTTACCATCATTTTCAAAAAAGGGGCATGCAGTGACAGATTTCCAAGTATTATGCTAAGTTATCCATGTATAGCGATTCCTAAAGCCTTAAAGTGCACTGTAATTTCACTTAACTTCAACATGAAATAGAAACTAAAAAACACCAAGTGTTAATATCAAGTATTGTATTAAAAAGGTCAGATCCTTAAAGTCTCAAAGAGCAGAGTTTTTTCACTTAACTTCAACATGAAATAGAAACGAAGATCCACAAGTTTTAACATCAATTATTGCAATCAAGTGAAGGGCAGGGCACTAACTAATACGGGCAGGGTGTTGCTGAAGGGAAACAATGACATGACATTTTTGGTGGAAGTGTGGACGGTGTGTAGCTTGAGAAAGGAAATGACTACACCAACTAACATGTTGTATTTTTACACCTTCAAGCCCTGACTGAGTACACATGTAATAGCTATTGAAATGGCAAGGCATTAAAAAACAACATAACAGTTTTTTAACTACTGAAATTGAAGAGAAAAGATTGATATGTATCTATACTGAAACGTCGCTATTGTACAATAAAGAAGTTGATCATCCACAAAGACTTGTCATTCCTATTACTTACAACTGCTATAATGCCTCTCAAACAGTTCAGAAAACATTTCAGTGTTGTTTAATGTTTAGGGTTCAGATTAAGTCCAGGACTTTCCTTCACTTGCACAAAAACAATCGCATCTACAATCAATTGTAGGCATTTGCAATTGAAATTACAATCGCGATCGTAACTCTTACAACTCTTGCACAAAAGCGATTGTAGCACAGTTGTAACTCATCTCATTTTACAATTGCGATCGTAAGTTACAATCGTAATCTTCTGTGCTGAAATGGGGGTAAACATGTGGTTAAAGTCATCAACATACTTATGAGTGTTTAGCTTTACGCAGCTTTTAGCAATATTCCAGCAATATCACGGCAAGGGACACCAGAAATAGGCTTCGTACATTGTTCGCATGTGGGGAATCGAACCCAGGCCTTCACCGTGACGAGCGATCGCTTTAACCACTATGCTACCCCACCACCCAACATACTTTTGAATCCACGTGTGAGGTGAGGTGAAATTGGGTTTAACGTCGTGCTTGAGAATATTTCGCTCATATGACGACGTGCATGCGTCTGTATGTGTATGTGTATGTGCGGCTGCTTGTACTAGCCTAGACTGAAGCTGGTATTTTTACTGCTAGCCCACTGAGATACCACTCCGCAGTGAAGCATGAATACCCCACTCTGACACATTACACTGACTCTGAGCTGACCAGTCCTTGTACCCATTAATGCCGAGTGCCAGGCAGGATCCAACAAGTACCATATTTTAACGTCTTTTGGTATGACGCGGTTGGGGATCGAACCCGCGACCTTCCGCTCTCCGGGCAGACTCTCTAACCACTACACCACGGAAGCGGTCACTAAGTTGGGAAACAACAAACATAACCTTATAACACAGTGGGGTAGCCTAGTGGTTAAAGCATACAAATGTCAAGTTGTTTAATTTCCCACACTATAGTTCAATGAGCAGCTTTTCACATCTTCCCATGGACCCGTGGAGATCCGAGTTAGAACTGATCTTCAGCAACCCATGCTTGTAGTAAGAGGTGACTAACAGGATTGGGTGGTCAGGTTCGCCGACTTGGTTGACACATGTCATCGTATCCCAATTGTGTAGATCGATCCTCATGCTATTGATCACTTGACTGTCTGGTCTAGACTCGATTATTTACAGACCGTCGCCGTATAGCTGGAATATTGCTGAGTGTGGCGTAAAACTAAACTCACTCATTCTTCTCGTATGACGAGGATGGGGATTGAGCCATTAACCTGTCACCTGAAATATACCACTTACATTGCTCATAGTTTGTGCTAGAAACATCAATAAGCATACCTTAACAAGCCCTTTGTGTGTTGGCCAGCGGTCGATGACGCTCCACACCAGATTGCTGGGGCTTCGTCGTGTCATGTAGTGGCGGTAAATGGCATTCAGACTACTTCCTGTCGTAGAACAGCTGTATTGTGGGTACTGGGTGAAGGCAACAGCTCGTTCTATACCATCCCTGATGGAAACATAACATGATGTCTAACATTTAATAAGGTGAATACAGAAACAAATTTAGTCTTAAACCAATAAATAATTTCCAACAATACACTCTCTATGCATTCACTGAATTGGTGAATGTTCACCAAACTGCTGTGATGAATATCTTCCTGATAATGGAAGAGATTTCAAACTACTAACCGCTAACTGGACTGACTGACTGACTGACTGAGTTTGGTTTTACGCCGCTTTTATCAATATTCCTGCAACATCATGGCGGGGGACACATTGTGCCCATGTGGGGATTCGAACCCGGGTCTTCGGCATGACGAGTCAACGCTTTAACCATTAGGCTACCCCACCGCCCACCGCTAAGTGGAGAACTATGAATGTCTTTGTGCCTCAGCGATCATATTTAAAGTGACGATGTTAAGCTGTCAAACATTGTCGTCATGAGGTACAAAACATGAAAAGCACAAGAATCATAAAGCCACGCGCGACACTGAATAGCGACGCGTGTATTTGGGCGGATGACCCCTTAAAAAACCAAGAACAGTTGTTTCCTTTGGTTCATTCAGTTAACATCACACTTGATCCAGAACCCAGCACATAAGTCGGAACCGGACGAACCAGTGACTGAGTATGAGTGAGTGAGTATGGTTTTACGCCGCTTTTAGCAATATTCCAGCAATATCACGACGGGGGACACCAGAAATGGGCTTCACACATTGTACCCATGTGGGGAATTGAACCCGGGCCTTCGGCGTGACGAGCCAACGCTTTAACCACTAGGCTACCCCACCGCCCCGACTGAGTATGTGAATTTTCACCCTTCAGAAATGGAACTGGAGTATGAAAAAAATCAAATTTGAAATTTCATACAAGTAAAATAGGACTTTTCTTGGATTCCAGGCAGTGCAGTAACCTGGTGGTTGAAGCGTTCTAAGCTGTCTAATATAGATGGAATACTGCAGAGTGCAACTTTAAACAACAAGACACAAACAAGATAAAAATTGCTCCACTCTTGAAAATATTCTAAAAGCACTTATCCCAGTGACTGAGATGCAAATATGGTATTAGCACAATATTTTATTATTATTATTATGCTAACATTTGTATAGTGCCAACATCCAGCTCAGCTGCTCAAAGGCACTTTGTTTTTTCCCTCGATCAGAGGCGCAGATAAGCTGCATATCCGGGTAAAATACGCATATAAAATTTCCAATTACGCATTGAAAAATAATTGTTGCGTACCAATTACGCATTTGAAATGTTAGATACGCAAAAAGTTTAAAACAAATGCGTACGGAAGATATTTATAAAAATCGCTTGCGTAATGAAAAAGACATCGATTGCTATCAAGTTGTACTGTTAGTATAGGACAAGTGTTGTACTGTCAGTATAGGATGAGTGATTTTTTATGAAATCATTTCCATTATATTTAAGTTGGTTTTGATTAGGTATGACATACCTGCTTAGTAAACTTACTCAATGACATAATACTTAGGTGAGTAAAATGACTGAAATATGCACATTTTTGAAAGCAGTGGGTACATTCATAATACCCACTCCAAAAAAATACAGTGGGTACAGTACCCACATGAGCTAAATCTTATCTGGAGCTCTGCTCGATCACTTGACGTCGATCTCTACGGCACTTCGCATTATCAATCTCAACTCCCTGGGGACCATACAACTCTTGCAGCCACTAGGCACACCGAGTTAGTGTGGCTTTCCCATCCTTACGAGGTACCCATTCACAGCTGGATGGACTGAGACACATAGTCACAGTACTTTGTCCAGGTTTACTGCACATTGCTGTGCCCGCAACTAGGTGTTTGCACACATTCATGTGGCCAACATCTGGTCATTTACCAATAGATTTGTGGGTTCTTTTAAGTGCACAGGTTTGTGTACTGTACACTAGGGGTTGTGACAACACTGAAAGAGTGCACACAAAGTTGACTCCAAGGTTTTTACACTCAGTCACAGGTGGGCTTGTTCCCGTCACCTCAAGGTTGCTGGATCACTAACCTGGCACCTTACCCAGCTCGCCCATCACGCCCCCGATATTTTGACGTGTTTGTTATATTATTTCTGAGCAATAAGAACTTACTCCTCCATCTGCTCAATGGCATCTTCCGTCAGAGGGTTGGCGTATCGAAAACCCACATAGAACTTGTGAGGAGCTGAAAAAGACATGACAAATTCCAGTTCACCAGTGTGAGAAATAGCCACCTGCCCTCTAGCCCGTGGCTAGTAAAAATCCAGTTGGGCCAATAAATCTCCACAGTCACTAGCCCGGCTAGCAAACTTTGGAAACTATTTCACACAATGCAGTATACAGACAGTTTGAAATACCACACAGAAACATAAAAAGTTTCTAAACACTTCTACATATATTCTGTATTTTTTTTCTTCTGTAATTCTCTATACTTCCATTATATTCAATTTGCAAAATCTACTTATTTTAAGGAGGGAGTTTGTCATCAATTTTGTACACATGCACTAGGGGGGTGTCATTGATTTTGCGCATATCGATGCTCATGCTGTTGATCACTGGATTGTCTGGTCCAGACTCGATTATTTACAGACCGCCGCCATATAGCTGGAATATTGCTGAGTGCGGTGTAAAACTAACCTCATTCACTTCTCTATAAAAATCATCATCACCTCCCAAAGCCATAAATTATGTACAGTCCCTTATCAAAAGACAGCCTCCGTGGTGTAGTGGTTAGAGCGTCCGCCCGGAGAGCGGAAGGTCGCGGGTTTGATCCCTGACCGCGTCATACCAAAAGACATTAAAATATGGTACTTGTTGGTCCCTGCCTGGCTCTCGGCATTAATGGGTATAACAAGGACTGGTCAGCTCGGAGTCAGTATAAAGTGTCTGAGTGGGGTATTTATGCTTCACTGCGGCATGGTATCTCAGTGGGCTAGCACTATAAAACCACCTTAAGTCTAGGCTAGTACAAGCAGCCGCACATACACATACACACGCATGCACGTCGTCATATGAGCGAAATATTCTCAAGCACGACGTAAAACCCAATTTCACCTCACCTCACCCTTACCAAAATATCAATTCATCAAAAGGGTAAAAGTACGAGCCAAGGTTCAGTTCCCTCATGCTGTAAATTTTGTGGAACAATCCAGTTATCTACAACATGGGCATGGTTGCACACAATTCATGACATGTGATCCCGAGCTACCTCTTACGACAAGCACTCTAACCCATATCTTCAATAATGGCTGCTGAAGTAGATCAAATTCAAAACAGTTGACAAACTGGTGAGACCAAGCATCGAAAACATTTTTGGTTTGTCAGTTTCCAAGGACTGACTGACTGACTGAGTTTGGTTTTATGCCGCTTTTAGCAATATTCCAGCAATATCATGGCAGGGGACACCAGAAATGGGCTTCACACAATGTACCCATGTGGGGATTCGAACCCGGGTCTTCGGCGTGACGAGCCAACGCTTTAACCACTAGGCTACCCCACCACCCCCAGTTTTCAAGGAGATGATGCTTATGCTACAAGGGTATTAAGGAATGTGTGAGAACCAACTTCAGATTTAGATGGTAAATATTGTGAAAAGCAGACCAAATGAGTCGTTTACTTTAATAATTTGTCAGGTTTTAGAACAAAATACAGCTGAGTGCTACAACACTGGCAGGGACGATATGTACATCAATAGTAGTATTTGCGTTACAAGCTCCTGTGATTCAGAAAACGACACAAACTCACCTGTTTCTGGGCTGATTTTATCAAGTATGTCTACCATGCCTTGTCCCTGTGTCTCAGTCCATCGCTTGATGGGTGAGCCGCCTCCAATCTTACGGTACTGAGTCTGAATGCTGGGTGTTCTCCGCTTGGCGATGTAGGGGGCCAGTTTACTGTAAAACACAACCAATATTTACTGACACCTTACGATGTAGGGGGCCAGTTTACTGTAAAACACAACCAATATTTACTGACACTTTGCGATGTAGGGGGCCAGTTTACTGTAAAACACAACCAATATTTACTGACACCTTGTGATGTAGGGGGCCAGCTTACTGTAAAACACAACCAATATTTACTGACACCTTGTGATGTAGGGGGCCAGCTTACTGTAAAACACAACCAATATTTACTGACACCTTCAGAACTCATTCGGGGTTTAGCTATTTTTTCCCCAATATCCTGGGTAAAACTGTCTCAGGTGTCTTCATCAGTGGATGAGTGTGCCGGTGTGCATGTGTTTGGGTGTGCATGTGTTTGGGTGTGCATGTGTTTGGGTGTGCATGTGTTTGGGTGTGCAGGTGCTTGGGTGTGCAGGTGTTTGTGTCTGCAGGTGTTTGGGTGTGCAGATGTTTGGGTGTGCAGGTGTTGGTGTTGGTTGGTGTCTATGTGTGCGAATGTGTTTGTCTGCATGTTTCTGTGCATGAGTGTGTGTTAGTGTGTGTACAAGTGTTAGTGTGTGTGTGTGTGGTTGTGTGTGAGTAAATGTGTGTGAGTGAGTGAGTGTGTGAAATAGTGTGTGTTGGTGTGTGCGAGTGTGTTAGAGAGAGAGAGAGAAAGAGAGAGAGAGAGGGAGCGAGAGAGCAAGTTTTAGCGTTGGTGGTTGGGTGTTTGTGTGTGTTAGTATGTGAGTGGGGGATTCTGCATTAGGGAGGGAGGGGTGTGAGAGAGGGGGGGGGAAACGCTACTGAGATCACTAGTTACCTCTGTGCAGGCAGGGGAATCAGGGAGGGGTGTGGGAGAGGAGGAGGGGAACGTAACTGAGATCACTAGTTACCTCTGTGCAGGCAGGGGAATCAGGGAGGGGTGTGGGAGAGGAGGAGGGGAACGTAACTGAGATCACTAGTTACCTCTGTGCAGGCAGGGGAATCAGGGAGGGGTGTGGGAGAGGAGGAGGGAAGCGTTACTGAGATCACTAGTTACCTCTGTGCAGGCAGGGGAATCAGGGAGGGTGTGTGGAGAGAGGAGGGGAACGCGTTACTGAGATCACTAGTTACCTCTGTGCAGGCAGGGGAATCAGGGAGGGGTGTGGGAGAGGAGGAGGGAGGCGCTACTGAGATCACTAGTTACCTCTGTGCAGGCAGGGGAATCAGGAGGGGTGTGGGAGAGGAGGAGGGGAACGTTACTGAGATCACTAGTTACGTCTGTGCAGGCAGGGGAATCAGGGAGGGGTGTGGGAGAGGAGGAGGGGAGGAGCGCTACTGAGATCACTAGTTACCTCTGTGCAGGCAGGGGAATAAGGGAGGGGTGTGGAGAGAGGAGGAGGGAGGGCGCTACTGAGATCACTAGTTACCTCTGTGCAGGCAGGGGAATCAGGGAGGGGTGTGGGAGAGGAGGAGGGGAACGCTACTGAGATCACTAGTTACCTCTGTGCAGGCAGGGGAATCAGGGAGGGGTGTGGGAGAGGAGGAGGGGAACGCTACTGAGATCACTAGTTACCTCTGTGCAGGCAGGGGAATCAGGGAGGGGTGTGGGGGAGGGAGGAGGGGAGGCGCTACTGAAATAACTAGTTACCTCTGTGCAGGCAGGGGAATCAGGGAGGGGTGTGGGAGAGGAGGAGGGGGGAGCGTTACTGAGATCACTAGTTACCTCTGTGCAGGCAGGGGAATCAGGGAGGGGTGTGGGAGGAGGGAGCTACTGAGATAACTAGTTACCTCTGTGCAGGCAGGGGGAATCAGGGAGGGGTGTGGGAGAGGAGGGGAACGTTACTGAGATCACTAGTTACCTCTGTGCAGGCAGGGGAATCAGGCAGGGGTGTGGGAGAGGAGGAGGGGAACGTTACTGAGGTCACTAGTTACCTCTGTGCAGGCAGGGGAATCAGGGAGGGGTGTGGGAGAGGAGGAGGGGAACGTTACTGAGATCACTAGTTACCTCTGTGCAGGCAGGGGAATCAGGCAGGGGTGTGGGAAAGGAGGAGGGGAGCGCTACTGAGGTCACTAGTTACCTCTGTGCAGGCAGGGAATCAGGGAGGGGTGTGGGAGAGGAGGAGGGGAACGCATTGAGAGGATCACTAGTTACCTCTGTGCAGGCAGGGGAATAAGGGAGGGGTGTGGGAGAGAGGAGGAGGAGCGCTACTGAGATCACTAGTTACCTCTGTGCAGGCAGGGGAATCAGGGAGGGGTGTGGGAGAGGAGGAGGGGAGCGTTACTGAGATCACTAGTTACCTCTGTGCAGGCAGGGGAATCAGGAGGGGTGTGGGAGAGGAGGGAACGCGTTACTGAGATCACTAGTTACCTCTGTGCAGGCAGGGGAATCAGGGAGGGGTGTGGGGAGGAGGAGGGAGCGCTACTGAAATAACTAGTTACCTCTGTGCAGGCAGGGGAATCAGGGAGGGGTGTGGGGAGGAGGAGGGGAACGTTACTGAGATCACTAGTTACCTCTGTGCAGGCAGGGGAATCAGGGAGGGGTGTGGGGAGGAGGAGGGAGCTACTGGAGATAACTAGTTACCTCTGTGCAGGCAGGGGAATCAGGGAGGGTGTGGGAGAGGAGGGAGGCGTTGCACTGAGATCACTAGTTACCTCTGTGCAGGCAGGGGAATCAGGCAGGGGTGTGGGAGAGAGGAGGAGGGGAACGCTACTGAGGTCACTAGTTACCTCTGTGCAGGCAGGGGAATCAGGGAGGGGTGTGGGAGAGGAGGAGGGGAACGTTACTGAGATCACTAGTTACCTCTGTGCAGGCAGGGGAATCAGGCAGGGTGTGGGAAAGGAGGAGGAGGGGAGCGTTACTGAGGTCACTAGTTACCTCTGTGCAGGCAGGGGAATCAGGGAGGGGTGTGGGAGAGGAGGAGGGGAACGTTACTGAGATCACTAGTTACCTCTGTGCAGGCAGGGGAATCAGGGAGGGGTGTGGGAGAGGAGGAGGGGAACGCTACTGAGATCACTAGTTACCTCTGTGCAGGCAGGGGAATCAGGGAGGGGTGTGGGGGAGGAGTCAGTGTTGTAGCACTCAGCTGTATTTTGTTCTAAAACCTGACAAATTATTAAAGTAAACGACTCATTTGGTCTGCTTTTCACAATATTTACCATCTAAATCTGAAGTTGGTTCTAACACATTCCTTAATACCCTTGTAGCATAAGCATCATCTCCTTGAAAACTGGGGGCGGTGGGGTAGCCTAGTGGTTAAAGCGTTGGCTCGTCACGCCGAAGACCCGGGTTCGAATCCCCACATGGGTACATTGTGTGAAGCCCATTTCTGGTGTCCCCTGCCATGGGAATCAGGGAGGGGTGTGGGAGAGGAGGAGGGGAAGGTTACTGAGATCACTAGTTACCTCTGTGCAGGCAGGGGAATCAGGTCCTTGTCCAGGAACAGACGCAGGAGAAAGTCGTGAACATCTTCTGTCTTCTCCGGACCGCCCAGATTCAGCATGAGTATACCAGTCTTGGGCTTGCCACTGAAAGTGAGGAAACTAAAACTAAACTAAATGTGTATTAAAGCACAACAGATAATACACACAAGATACGCTCCATCACTAAAGACAGGAATCAAGGTATATATTTTTTTATCTCCCCCTCTGAACCTTTAACATGAGTTAGATAGTCTTCATCACAATACTGATACTTGTTTCACAATATATTGTAACACAGTCAGGGCTCCAGATAAATTTTCAACATCAGGAGTACGTACTCCTTATTTGTTCAATATTGAGTTCTGGAAAACCTTAAGTCCACATTTAGAGTACTGAATGGAAGCTAATGGACTATCAGTAATCTTGTGTTTAGTTTCATATATGCACCACAACATTGCTGTTCTTGTGTAAACAGGTCAATAAACAATAAAACAATACTTTTTTTCAGATAAATACACCTGTAAATGATTCTAAGACCGGACACCATTGCTGTGGTGCGTATCTGCTACGTTTTCTAAATTATTTCCTACCGTATCGTGCAGATTGTTTATCCGTACATACGCCGATACGGCCTGGAGCCCTGAGTTTTTCACAAATCAAACAGGACTAATGCATTGGTATTTTGTTGATGTTGATAATGTATTGATACAAATTTATGGATACAGTTATTACATTCAGTGCTTCCATTATCCGGTATATACCAGGCTTTGACCGGTTTGAATGTCCAGTAATTTCAAAGGCTGACGGTCATGTCAGGCGAATTTGAAATCAATTTTCTAATTACCTCTTTCAATTTTATTTCTATTAGCTATACCACAGCCCCCCACTAATTAACTAGATTTGGCTAATACCCTGGAATATTTTCTTTATTCGTATACTACAGAAAAACTATTGAATCTTTTTCAGTTATTTGTGATCTGAGGAATATAAATATCTAAAAGCATTATTTTACCAACAGAAATAAATTCTAACAGTGTGCCATTTTAAAATTACAGGTTCTCTTGCATAATTGTAAAATATTATAATAATAACTAAGGTTATGCGGCAGCAGTTTGGTGTTATGTCGGATAGTTTTAACGCATGGAACATGTCCTGAATTAAAACATTCGTATATTTTTACTGTTATCGTAGTCGCGTACTTAGTGTTGTTTTTTCCAATCGCATCTCTGCGATACATAAGTTTCATGATTCGATACGTATCACGATACCCATATCACAATTCGATGCGTATCACGATACCCATATCACAATTCGATACGTATCATGATACCTATTTTTGCTGCATTATTGTGTAAATTTAGTTACATTTTGAACATTGATATGTCATATTTTATAATTGGCCATGAAAAGATCAACATTTTTGATTCTCAAAGACTAAAAAGTTCTAATTTCCAACTTTGTGCATGAACAATAATCATTTATAACTCTCATAACATCAAAAAACATGACACAAATGCAAAATGTAAATGATGTATAAACATATTTAAACCGATACTTTCGAAATTAAATATCGATAGTTTTGAATGTATCGATAATTGTATCGTCATAGAAAAAGTATCAGTACATCGATGTATCGATGTTACGTTGCCTCCCTATGTTTTACCTGCGTGAACTGGAGTGCCTCCTGGTGTCGCTGCCTTGGAGGGCAGGGACAGACACAGCTGGGGACACGCCCACAATCCTGCCACCCCCACACTTCTGAAGCCATCCTGCAACAAAGGTGAACTGACTTATCCCAGCATTTAAAACAGATTTCAGGATATGCTAGTTGATGCTGCCATGTTTGCTGGCTTCCTCAGAGTGGTAAAAGTCCGAGACCTGCATAACTTCAATCTTTCCTCCCGTATCAAGCTGACATGTTAAAAGCAGCACTGAAACCCACTCACTCACTCACAAACAGACCCACCCACTCACTCACCAACCAACCAACCAACCCACCCACCCATACTCACTCACTCACAATGTCGCTCTATGCAATAAGTTGTTATACATAAAGTTGTAACTTTAGTTCAATGTTGAACAAACTTTATAGATAACAACTATTTCGCAATACATAGAGAACCTCACCCGAGTGTCTTTTGATATGAGTGAGTGAGTGAGTGAGTTCAGTTTTACGCCGCTTTTAGCAATGTTCCAGCAATATCACAGCGGGGGCACCAGAAATGAGCTTCACACCCTTTTGATATGAAATATATCCCCATGAGTTGATAAAGTTACAAATATCTGAGGCTTGAGTGTAACTTGTGTCCCTAATGTCATGAAGTTGGGGCATGGTGAGCGAGCTGCCTAAGACGCCGCGCTAGTAAGTGAAAGGTGCCTGGATCGATCCCCACTTGTGACTGGGTGTAAAAACCTTGGAGCAAACATTACTTGCAGGCTCTTTCAGTGTTGTCACAACCCCGTGCACTTAAAAGAACCCACTCATCTAATGACAAGATGGTGGACACACGATCACGTGCAGACACCTAGTTGCTTGTATGGTAAGGTGCAGTAACATTGGACAAAATACTGTGACTGTCCCAGTTCACCCAGCTGCAAATGGGTACCTTGTGGGGATGAAGCTGTGTGATAACTCACTGCGCCCTAACAGGCTGCATGAGTTGAATACTCCCCAGGGAGTTGAGTAGGTTAAAAGAGGTGAGGTGAGGTGAAATTGGGTTTAACATCGTGCTTGAGAATATTTCGCTAATATGACGACGTGCATACGTGTGTATGTGTATGTGCGGCTGCTTGTACTAGCCCAGACTTAAGCTGGTTTTATAGTGCTAGCCCACTGAGATACCATGCCGCAGTGAAGCATGAATACCCCACTCAGACACATTATACTGACTCCGAGCCGACCAATCCTTGTTGTACCCATTAATGCCGAACGCCAGGCAGGGACCAACAAGTACCATATTTTAACGTCTTTTGGTATGACGCGGCCGGGGATCGAACCCGCGACCTTCCGCTCTCCGGGCAGACGCTCTAACCACTACACCACGGAGGCGGTCTTGGTTAAAAGAATGCCAGAAAAAGACATCTGTTGATCAAGGGAACACTCCAGTGCCTTGAGCATGTACTAGTTGGGTGGCTACGTGCGCGTAATATCCTGTAATAATAGTATAGTTGCTTACATAACAGAGCAGCCCAGACACACACCAGCCTGTCACTATGTCAGATAAACACCCTACTCAGGCCTTCTTCATAAACACACACATCCACAGTCTAAAACCACTGACTGACATCCAGTTGCCTGTCAACCACAGCACTACTTCCTGAAAATAGGCGGTGGGTTGGCTGGTGGAGAGCATTCACTCGTCATGCCGAAGACCCGGGTTCGATTCCCCACATGTGTACAATGGGCATCCAACTGAAATTTGTGAAGCCCATTTCTGGTGTTCCCCGCCATGAATATTGCTGGAATATTGCTAAAAGTGGCATAATACCATACGCACTCACTCCTTCTGAAAAGCAGCATGTACCAAATTCGCTTCTATTAGTCTGTCAATTGGGTGACACAAAAATTTCTAGACATAGGTAAAGCTACTGTTGGCCAATTGCAATCATTTTTCTGCGCAGTACTTTGCAATTCACAGAAAGCAAAATACAAAACGTACCAAAAATTTCATTGGTCAAACTGATTCCAGGGATTCATCAAGGATTCCACACAAATTGCCTCAGCAAACAAATTTGAAAAAATAACCAGGATACATTGTTTGGCTTAACCACAGACCTAAATAGACATAGTATGGTTTAATAATATTCAAGACTGTAATTAACATAAATTAACTTGATTATATCATAATGTCCTAACTTCTGAGAAATAGGGAAATTGTATAATTCAAACAGGGACTGTTTCTGTTATTCGCTGTAGACTTTGGCCCAAATAATTGGCCCAGGGCAGGTAACTTCTGAGAATTTAATAAATTTCATAATTCAAATAGGGAATTTTACTGTTATTTGCTGCAAACATAAGGCTAAATATTTTACCTACACCAGGTCTAGATGACCTGGGAGGCTACAATCTGTGCCAAGGACAGCAGTGATCAGACTGAGAGATGACCTGGAGGGGTGTGGGGTGTGTGGGGGGGGTGTGTGTGTCATGAACCAGGCCTACTACCGCAGTGAGACAGAACGTCTGCTGTAAATCAGTCTCAAGTATATATATGTAACAGTTCCAGTTTTCAGTTTAAGACGCTGGCCCCAAGCCCGAGTCTAGAAAAACTCTGTTCTGTCATGTAAGATCAGCTAATATAATACACCCGTGACCAACCATAATTTACATGTCCTAAAAATCACGCTCTTAGAGTCAGCTTTCCACATGTAGGACCTAAAGACCTTAATAAATGACACTTGTTACCTTGTCCAGTACTCTGCATTGAAATTAAAAAACCCCAACCCTACATGACAGGTTATTTTTGTAATTAAATATGGGATCTGTAGTCACATTTACTGCAACTGCTACTACTACTACTACTACTACTACTACTACTACTACTACTACTACTACTACATGAATGAACAAATAAATTAATGAATGAACGAATAAATGATTAAATGAATAAATGAATAAATGAATGAATGAATGAATAAACTGCATTACACTGTTGATACCTGTAATTTCATGCAGGAGAATAGGTTCAAAGTATAAAGCTATGGTTCAAAATCATGATTGGAAAAATCTTTTTTTCTAAAGTTAAATATTTACTGTTCTGCAATATTGTTAACTCAGGGCTCCAGATAAGGGCCGTATTGGCATATGTACGGATAGAAAATATGCATGATACGGTAGGAAATAATTTAGAAAGCATAGCAGATACGCACCACAGCAATGGTGTATGGTCTTAGAATCATTTACAGACATATTTATCTGAAAAAGTATTGTTTTATTGTTTATTGACCTGTTTACACAAGACTGACTGACTGACTGTGTTTGGTTTTACGCCGCTTTTAGCAATATTCCAGCAACATCACGGCAGGGGACATCAGAAATGGGCTTCACACATTGTACCCATGTGGGGAATCGAACCCGGGTCTTCAGCATGAGGAACCAACGCTTTAACCATTAGGCTACCCCACCGCCCCGTTTACACAAGAGTAGTAATGTTGTTGTGCATATATAAAACAAAACACAAGATTACTGATATGCCATTATTTTCCATTCAGTACTCTAAATGTACTTCAGTACTCCTATATTGAAAAAAAAGGAGTACGTACTCCTGATGTTGAAAAATTATTTTGGAGCCCCGGTTAACTTATTAAAGTCAGGGCTCGATTTAAGAGATGTTAACCCACTTGAGCCAGGTGCAACTTAGATAAAAACCTAGTTGCACCAGCCAAATTCCAGTTGCACTGTTTTTATTGCAATATGTCATGAAAGAAATATGCTATTGAATTATTCAGATATTTTATTCAGAAGTTTATCCACTCAAAAATTGACTTGCACCTGGTGCAAGTTAGACTAATAACTAGGTTGCACTTTGTAATATTGGGTTGCACAGTGCAAGTAACCAAGCACTAAATCGAGCCCTGTAAGTTATATAAGTGCTACTTGTAATCTAACATGGTTTCCCACACTCTAAATATCATGCACCTCTTTATTTTCATAGCACTGAAGTATTCCATGCATTGATTCATGACAATGTACGTCATAGATGTGAAAAGTTGGAATCGGAAGCAAAAACGAAATTTGACTAAAAAAGGCACATATAACAGAGCCAAAAAATTACAGAAACATTCAAAGCGGGACAGGTTGATAGGCATGTAGGTCCTTAAATCAGGAAACTAATTTCAACATGTGTGATATATTTCACTAACATATGTCACTCAAAGTGACAACACATGAACAACAATGGCGGACAGCTGCTCGGGTTGTGATATTATTAACAATACACCTCCATTGTAGCTCCACAAACATCCAATGTGCAGAATGTAAAGATAAACTGCTTGATTAAATCTTTATTGCTGCTAATAGTAATACCAAATCTTATTTGCCTGATTGAAAAATAGATAGCATTGATAGAACTAATATTAGATCCTGAATGTTACTGAAACACCAAGTAATTGTGATGTGCCGTGGATATAAATATTATGGATTTTAAAAATCAATACCCAACATGAAACACGTGTTCAATTGTGATCCCTTCATTAAGTCTGGTACAGTGTTTAGTCAACAATACCCTAGTTGAACACTATTGATCTGAAATTCAAGCAACATGCTCTTGTCATTTGAAACCTCTGTTCAGATACTCAGGTAGTCTGTCTCACAGTCCCTGAACCACATTAATTTCCCTACTGCCATGCCCTCTCTGCAGTGCTAAAGCCCTAAATAAAGCAAGTCTAGATTTCCTCAGGTTCAGGTTCTGAATCTCTGGTCTCCCTAGGGCTCCTTTTCAATATAAAAGGGCTTGTTTGTTACTCTCAAAATTATATATATTCAGAATAAGCCTTAGTCTAATACTCAGGTTGTGGTTTGAATTAAAGCCTGAAAGGCATTGGTAGTCATACAAAAGACCTTAAGTTAAAAAATGACACTTGTTGTTGCCCTGCCTGGTGCTCAGCATTACAGGCAAAAAACCCAAACAGGATTGATCATTTTTGTGTCTCTAATTTCTAAATAGGGTATTTGTAGTCCCATTTACTAAATGATAAATAACTGGGTGAGCGGATGTAAAAAACCTTGGAGCAAACATTACTTGCAGGCTCTTTCAGTGTTGTCACAACCACTAGTATACAGTACACAACCCTGTGCACTTAAAAGAACCCACGAATCTGTTGGTATATGACCAGATGGTGTCTACACGAATACGTGCAAACACCTAGTTGCGGGTACAGCAACGTGCAGTGAACTTGGACAAAGTACTGTGACTATGTGTCCCAGTCCACCCAGCTGTGAAAGGGTGCCTCATAAGGATGAGAAAGCCACATTAAATTGATGCACCTGAGTTGTATGCTACCCAAGGAGATTGAAAATACAATGTGCCGTTGAAATTGACATACAATGATCGAGGAAAAAAACCCAAAGCGCTTTGAGCATGCCTGTAGGTGGGATGGACTATGGCCCTATATTATATATAGTCTGTTTGCAGTGAAAACGTACCGATGAATTTCACTTTAAACAAAAAAGTAGGGTGACGAGCAAATGCTTTAACCACTAGGTTACCCACTGTCTCTGCTTGGTTGTAATATTGGCAGTAGAAACAGTAAAATTACTGACTGAGTTTGGTTTTATGCCACTTTTAGCAATATTCCAGCAATATCACGGCGGGGGACACCAGAAATGGGCTTCACTCATTGTACCTATGTGGGGATTCGAACCCGGTCTTTACGCGAACGAGCTAACGCTTTAACCACTAGACTACCCCAATCGCCCCAGTAAAATGACATGGGGATGTTTTTTCAGGTCACACAGGAAAGGTGCCAAATTATCTATTTATATATCATCATTGAATGTCACTTTAAACCAAAAAGTAAAACAAATAAAGTGAAATTAAGACTGCGAATCCTCATGATTTTACCTTGCCAACTGAACATTTAAATCTCAAAATTTTATTCGACTTAGGATAAAAGTCGTTTAACAAACGATACTAGATTCAAATCGCTATTACTAGTTTGTATTACAAGGGGGTAAGCGCAGTAGTTGGAACATTGAAACAAATGCATGTGCGGTATGTGAAGAGCGTTAAATTATAACCCTTGTCGTCTTCAGTGTTTCATTTGATGCATACCCCCTTGATACCATGTTTGCAACTGAGTACACTCGTTTCCATCATAACGCAATTGAATGCATCTCATGGAATAGTAGAATAGTTTAGCCAAGAGCACAGTCCAGAATGGGGTTATCCATGTGTCTGTAATATTATTTTGGGATACATATATATGTAGTATCTTTGTCGACAATGACTCCATCAGCCATATTTCCCACTTGACTACACAGAAATCATGAACAGATGTTTACAAAAATAATTCCTAAAGTCTTGGATGAAACTTTAATTATCATTAATATATTATATAACTGTTTGGAATCTGTTTATTCATTCAAGTCAAAGGCCACAGGCCCATAGGACGTACATCAACCGCATATATACACATTTTGTTATACATAACTGTTATATAACTGTGGCTGTAGCTAAATTTCAACGTTTATAACGGATAGGTGATTCATGACCTTGTAAATTGTCAGGTTAAAAGAAGGACAGATTGCTTGGGTCATAATAAGGAACTCTTCAATATAACGCTGTCTGACTTGAACACATCACCACATTTTCTACTGTAGGTCATATTGTGGAACGTGTGAGCTCAACCATGACAGGTGCATGTGACGTTGTTCCCTGGGAATATGTCGACAGGATTAAATAGCAAGGCATTTACTGACCTATCTTCGGTTTGCGGTCAAAACCATGACAAGTGCCTCCTGTTCCTAAAATCAGGCAAACATAAAATTTTGCAAAATCATGTTTCACACACTCACCTGTCAACCCCCGTCTCACGTACTTCGCCATGCTCAACCGGTGTTTATGTCAACACTGCGCCCTCTGGTGAGTGTGCAAGGAACGATAATCTCGACTCACAGAGTTAGTTCCCCTACACCAAAACGAGACGAATAATTTTATTGTCTGTAAGGATTTTACTGGGGATGCAACGAATACACACGTGGGTGGGTACGATAGGTGTCATCCCAGTTGTGAGAACTCCCAGTTGTGAGACACATTAATTAATGGTTCAGTGCACATAGGTGGTGTTTCCACAATGTCATCCCTACAATGAAAGTGGGATCAGCCCAGCCTAGTACCCACAGGAGGCATAGTTCATTGATAAGTTGATTAATGAAATAGATTATCAAAGATTATAGTTACACAGAAGAAATAGTTCATTGAATATTTTATTTATGCAGAAGAATATGTAATTATGATAACACATTTTTATTGACTATTATGAAGTTTGGAAGTCATTTTTGTTTAAACATATTTAAATATTATTTATAAAAATGAATTGGGATTGGTGAAGTATTACTGCTTATGTTAACACCGCTCCCATGCAATATAAAATATAAAATGAAATGGAGGATGAGACGTCATCGATATTGACTATTGCATAAATATATCGGCGTTTGGGTAGCTAGATCCGAGCCTGAGGCAGCAATGAACGATTTGACAAAAACAAGAGCCATAATTAAGATCAATATAAATCTTGTTTTCGGTTTTTGTAATTAGGTTTTAAAATTCTTTGAGACTGCATGACTCTTTGGTATTTGGTAGGGCATTCCATAAAGTTATTGTGTCGGGTAGGAAGGGTTTGGCATAAGGGGCATTTCGACTGTAAATTTCAGAGTTATTTCTTAAACTATAGTTTGTAGTTTCGGAGACGGAGTAAATCTGAGTACTAGGTAAATTAATTTCTCTTTGATCACGAAGTTACCTACACAAAGTGTTTAATTATTAAAGACATTTACCTGAGTATGTTAATCAATTTATCTTATAAAGTTGCATTAAGTTACCTCCACAAGATTCAGTTACATAGCAAATCAGTAATTAGCTAGGGTGAATCCATTCTATCAGACAGGGGAGTATGGTGTGTTTTCGTTGTTAATTACCTACTCCACTGTCTCATAACTGGGAATCTCACAACTGGGAGTTCTCACAAATGGGAGTAGACCGTACGATATGTTCGTGCTATTGCTGGAATATTGCTAAAAGCGGCGCAAAACTAAACTAAACTCACTCATTTCGTTGCTTTCAGAAGTTAATTGCCTGCACATATTGATCGAAATTATAAAGTTGATGTTAAGTTAAAAAATTAATACAAAGGCTTACTGAATATCCCCACAGCTCCTCATGAAACAAATACAAATATACATACTAGTACAAATACAAACAACGAAAACAACTGTAAGAAACGAACGACAGCACCACCCGGCTCCGCCCTCAACACACAAATAATAGATACATTAATTAAATGAATAATTTACACACACCCCCCCTCCCAACAACAACAACAAAACACATCTCCCCCTCCCCCACTCTAAAAAAGAAAGAAAAAAACACCTAAAAACAAACCCCAGAGCAACAACTACAAAGGAGAAAAAAAACAAAAACAAAACAACAACCCAGAAACAAAAAAACAAAAACAACCAACATTTAAGCAAAACAAAAAACAAATCGTAGATGAAAAAATTACAAAAACGAAAACAATAGTTGAAAGGAACACGCAAATTCTATCTCAGTCTTATTAGGGATGATATGACATTGTCATAAGAGAGTTGTTTTCTGATCATTTGTGTGCGTTCGTTTGATTTGTTTGATACACCGGGACGTGTACACACGTGTGTTTTTGTCCCTTTACAATTGAAACAGAACTTTCGCAATGAACGGGGGTTGTGCGACTCCATAAGTTGTGTTGAATGTTCACCCCGTATGCGTCACTTCAAAACACAAGTTGGAAGATACCACAAAAAAGCGCCAAGTCCTTGTAAACGTCTGTTCTAAAAAGAATGTCTCGGTATGACGTCATCGAGTCAATGACGTCATGAATTGAACATCTTCAAAGCATACGGAGTTGACTGTGGAGCTCCTACCTCTGAATGTCAAGTAGGTATTTATGCATGTCGAACAAATAAATTTTACTGTTCCGGAATATTAACATTAATTCAGATGAGTGACACTGTCGATATCTAATCGTTTTGACATTTCATCACATTTCATACATTTCAGTTGATGACGTCACATGTCCATGGCTAATTCACTATTCCCGCCAAATGACGATTGTGCCACATGCGGTTACTGTCTCTCGTTTGTTTTGTATCGGGTAAGTATACTGACTGACTGACTGACTGAGTTTAGTTTTACGCCGCTTTTAGCAATATTCCAGCAACATCACGGCGGGGGGACACCAGAAATGGGCTTCACACATTGTGCCCATGTGGGGATTCGAACCCGGATCTTTGGCGTGACGAGCCAACGCTTAAACCATTATTAGGCTACTTCATCATGTATACACATACACGCACGTTATTGCAATATATTGACCATATATTGAGCAAAGCATACCCCTCGGTCGAGATCAAATCAAACATCATTTCTAGAATACCAGAGGGGCGGTGGGGTAGCCTTGTTGTTCAATCGTTCGCTCGTCACGCCGAAGACCCGGGTTCGATTCCCCACATGGGTACAATGTGTGAATCCCATTTCTGGTGTCTCCCGCCGTGATATTGCTGGAATATTGCTAAAAGCGGCGTAAAAGCACACTCACTCACTCACTATAATACTAAAGGTGGATTGTCTCCAAATATACCATATATAACCAAATATACCATATATAACCAAAGCACAACACTGCGATAATGCCAACTTCTCACCACCTCTCTTTCTCCGCTTGAGGTTGGACATGAGAAAAATAAAATAATGACCCAACAAGCAACTAAATGGATCTTTCAGTGTTGTCACAACCCCAAGTATGCAGTACACAACCCTGTGCACTTAAAAGAACCCACGAATCCTTTGGTATATGACCAGATGGTGTCTACATGAATACGTGCAAACACCTAGTTGCGGGTACAACAACGTGCAGTGAACTTGGACAAAGTACTGTGACTATGTGTCCCAGTCCACCCAGCTGTGAATGGGTACCTCGTAAGGATGACAGTGCAATAACTCGGTGCGCCTAGTGGCTGCAAGAGTTGTATACTCCCCAGGGAGTTGAGATTGATAATACGATGTGCCGTTGAGATTGACATCCAATGATCGAGGGGAAAATACCAGCGCCTTGAGCATGCACTAGTTGCCTGGATATGTGCGCTATATAAATATCCTAAAATAATAATAATAATAATCAGGGTGTCAGATAAGTTGACTTGTTTGAGGTTCGAACACTGCGAGGATCGTTGTTCATAATATCAATCACTGGACTAGTTACAGACTATGGTTGTAATATCGTTAGTGCGGCGTTAAACAATTGACAATCAATATCAACAAATGTCATTAGGTTAACTCTTCAACATATATTTCTTTAACAGGCGTCTCTCTCTGCTTCACTGATACTCGAAGACCACTGATGAATTTGTTTGGTAAGTGATTAAATTGGTTTAACATAGCTTTGAATGGATTACTACCAGATTGTCTGGGGGAGGTGGGGCAGCCTAGTGGTTAAAGCGTTCGCTCGTCACGCCGAAGTCCCGGGTTCGATTCCCCACGTGGGTACAATGTGTTAAGCCCATTTCTGGTTTTCCCCGCCTTGATATTGCTGGAATATTGCTAAAAGCGGCGTAAAACTAAACTCACTCACTCGCTCACCTGATTGTCTGATTTTTGAGGAAAGCTCGAAGTGATGACTGCCTTCCACGTTCAACAGCTTTGGTAAACTCCGGCATGGTGCTGAAAACCCTGGAAACACAAGTAAGGCTACCCGGATTCGAACCGTCACCTTACACCACTACCCCACCAATGCCCCATGTGAAGCCGTGCACATGCACGAATATTTTATTCACGCATCTCGCACTGAAACATTTTGGGAAATATTTTTCGGATTATTTTTTCTCGCGTGAGATGTACTCGATTTTGAATAACATTTTGTTTGATCGAAATATTTATTATTTTATTAAAAGATGTAGCTTCGTAAATGGGTCATGGATCCTTATGATGGATCGTGGTATATTTTGTTATAGAATTGAGGTCTTGCATCTTCTGTTTTTATTTATTTATGTTAGAAGAGAGTGTTTCAGTTCATGGTGATGCAAGGAATGTGATTTAGTATGGCAACATACATGTATATAAGTTTCCATTCTCTTGAAGCGGTTAATGTCTGAGGCAAGGACAGCTTTGTAACACAGGAATGGATTGCTAATGTAATGGCCTTGAAATGGATTATATTTAAGATAAACATCAATTTCATTTTGAGGACGACTTGAATCCCGGCTGTGAGAAATTTATACGAGGGACTCATCCCTTACAGCGTCTTCGTGGACAAAATCGCCTGGGTGTATTGTACGTACGCTTCAATGGCTTCCGTGACCAGTAGCGTAATGCTTGCTAACCCTGTTATAGTAATACTAATAGTCCGCTTATATGACGCTCATATCCAGGCACATTGCCTGCTCACGGCGCTACGTACATTACTATCCCCGATCATAGGACACTATCGTTCTTTCCGATACTTTTTCAACTCCTTGGGAATCCACTCCCATGCTGCCTGTTAGGTGCAATGAACTAAACACTCTCATTGCCAGCGCATCCTCATCTGGGTGAACTGAAGCAATGTGGATCTGAGTATCTTGTCCAAGGATACTACACACAAATGTGCCCACCTCGGAACCCGAACCTAGCCAGGTGCCTCCACCGGGGATCGAACCCGGGCCTTCAGCGTGATAGACAGACGCCTTACCACTGCACTATAAGCAAGTGAGGCGGCTGCACCGAAACGTCGCTCACATAATGAAGAAGTAGCAAATTGTTTATCCATAGAACTCTCCCCGCTAATTTCTAAATGGCACTCTAAAAAGTTATTGTTTAGACGTTGATCTCAATCGTTTGAAAATAATTATTAAGTATTGTATTGTAAATTATATAAAGTGTGAACGCTTAGTATTTGTTTCACTCTGTCACAAGTTGACCTGTTTTTCTCTGCTCCTCCACAGATCGTTTTGGCTGGGTGCTAATGATTCGCGTCAAATTGTTTATTGTTAATGTGTTGTTTACTTTGTCAGTTTTGTTTGTTTATCGCCGAACCAGCAATATTCCAGCTATATAGCGGCACAGTAAATAATCGAGTCTGGACCAGACAATTCAGTGATCAACAGCATGTGCATCGATCTGTGCAAATGGGATACAATGACATGTGTCAACCAAGTCAGCGAGTCTGATTTTCCCTACGGGACTCATCCAAATTCCTAAAAAGGAAAATTGCATTTTAATTTTTTTTAATTTTGTTGTTTTGGTTTGTTTTTTGGTGTGTGTTTTTTGTTGTTGTTTTTGTGTGTGTGTGTGTGTGTGTGTGTGTGTGTGGAGGTGGATGTCAGGTTATTTGTGCTCGCGTTTGTTTGACGCAATTGTTGTAACCTATCTTTTTAAACATTTGTTTCATTTGCATATCGTCGTTGACTCTTAGTGCCGTCGTTTTAACAGTGGTTTAATCTAGGATTGTCCGTAGGATTGTTTGCTATCTGAGCTTAATGTGAATTTTTGCATACATCCCAGTAAAGAGCTGAAGGAGCCTTTATAATGATAGTATGTGCATTTATACCGCGCTGGATTCCATACAAAGGTGTATGCTCAAAGCGCTACATAAAAAGGGGTGATTGGAGTGCTACAACACATACAACATTTGTACATAAAATGGCTGAAACTTTTCAGGATATGCTTGTTGGTCACTGTAGTGTTTTCTGAAGAGGAATGTTTTTAAGGCACATTTGAAGGACTCAAGGGATCTTGTTAGTCTGAGTTCGAGCGGCAGCTGGTTCCATAGTGTTGGCGCTCCATAACTAAAAGAGCGGAAATCAAAGGATTTTAGTTTACGTCTTGGGGTGGCCAATATATGTTGATAAGCTGATCGTAAGGCTCTCGATGGAACATCATTGATGTAGCCGGGAGTAGTTTCATGATAGCACTGGTGGGCTAGACTCAGGATGTTATACTCCACTCTGGCTCTTATGGGCAACCAGTGTAAGGCTTGTAAAACTGGGGAGATATGATCTCTCATTGACATTTTGTTGGCAATGCGAGATGCTCAATTTTGTACTCGTTGTATAGTCTGTTTGCAGTGAAAACGTACCGATGAATTTCACTTTAAACAAAAAAATAAATCAAATTAAGTGAAATTAAGATTGCGAATCCTCATAATTTTACCTTGCTAATTGAACATTTAAATCTCAGAATGTTATTCAACTTAAGATAAAAGTTGTTTAACAAACGATCATAGTTTCAAATCGCTATTATTGGTTTGTATTACAAGGGGGTATGCACATTAAATTAAACCCCGAGAACAAGATGGTTTGCATTTGTTTCACTGTTCCAACTACTGCGCGTACCCCCTTGAAATACAATGCTGACATTACTTAGCTAAATAATTGCAAAATAGTGTACGATTATGGCAGACATAATTTGGGTGAATATGGGATTAAAACTCTATATCAGCGCATCTGTCTTCAGGAAAAACAGTTTGAGACCCCATGTCAAATAATGGTTGATTGCTGCCTTGAGTTTATCGGCACCGGATAAAACCAAAACAAAATGCAGATCATTCACAGTAAAGGTTTTGAAAAGCATGTGTTTGATCGTTTGTTTGCCCGTTACCACAAATAACGGCGAATGTCGGGACTCTTGTGAAGATCAGTCGGTTTGCATGTCATCGTATCGTACTTGCGTCGATGTTCATGATGTCGGTCACTGGATTGTGTGCTGTAGTTTATTTGCAGACGACCTTCAGCATTGCTGAAATATTCTGTTCATGAACACTTCATAGGTTCATGTACGGCTATTGATCTATATATCCAGGCGTTAACATTTCTAGATAAAAAATTAAAATGTTTATTTTATCAGGACCTACTGACCAATCAGCGAGACATGAAACGCCACTCACACAGCAGCCGAGGAACATGCGCAGTAAGAGAAGTGCGCATCTTCAAGGCTTGGCAAACAAAGATTGGGAGGTGTCATGGACATCGCCGACGCCTAAAGCTTCGGATTCATCAGACTCATACGATATTGACGACTTTCAGGTGCCAGTTTGAATTTGTTAACACGCCATGCCAAATGCCAGAGGAATTACGATCTTATTTAAACATCAAACTTCTACGTAAATACAATGAACCAAAATACGGAATAGTTAGGTAATTTCTTATCATTAAGTTTTAAAACATAAACGACATCCTCTTCTTAACTTGCCTTTGGCATATTGGTCTTGAGAATCCGCTGTCAAAACTATGAGCCTGAACATTGTTTTAGGTCACTTCAAGTAGTATTCAGTTACATTTGCGCTGAACACCAAACCGGGTTGCATACATATTACCTAAGCTAGAATCGAACCCGGGCCTCCTGCGGGATGAGCGAGCTCTTGGAAATAAAGGCTATCCCACTACACCAACGCCCGTGAGGTGAGGTGAAATTGGGTTTAACGTCGTGCTTGAGAATATTTCGCTCATATGACGACGTGCATGCGTGTGTATGTGTATGTGCGGCTGCTTGTACTAGCCCAGACTGAAGCTGGTTTTATAGTGCTAGCCCACTGAGATACCATACCGACCAGTCCTTGTTGGACCCATTAATGCCGAGTGCCAGGCAGGGACCAACGCCCTTACAATGATGTAATGAAAATTATGAAATGTTGTGTGTTTGTATGTGGCATACATGTCAGTTTTACTTACACTTATTTCCTTGACAGGTCATTAACCGCGAGGAGATTCTCCGCGCCAAGCACCTCTACATGAAGAACATTTTGATGTATGTTGGAATAACACTGGGTGCAGTATTTCTATTTGTCGTCATAGCTTTCTGCTTTCTTGTAAATCCTAAACAATGCATTATCGCCTTCGGAACAGGAAGCCCATGCTGTCTGATTATCTCCCCTTGTATTTTGAAATGTGTTGAAAAGTTCCTTGACCCTGGAAAAATAGTTCAAGGTCAAATGAACCGATACGTGCCAGGCGTAGTTATCGATGAGAAGGGCAAGGTCGCAGAGACATACGAGCCGACACCGGAGGAACTACAGGCGCTGCAGGAACTTGTTGAAGAGGTCATGGACATGGTGTAGGTCAAGGTCATAGGGTGGCATGACGCGTAGATCAGATTTATATTTATGTACTTGAAATGTATCAATCTATACAATCATAATGTGAAGGCCGTCCTATTGAGGTCAGTCTCCAGTTTGCCGTTATTCATTTGTGCCTTTTATGAAAGAAATATAATATCAGAACATTTAATTCTATTTGACTGCCACTGTGTATTGTTGTTTAAAAAGTGATGCATATTTTGGACGTTTACCATTTTTGTGAACCCCACGTGCATTGTATCTGACAATCCAAGAAATAAAACCAAGACAAAACTAGGATTCAAACCACAATTATTATTTCTAGCATATAGTTGACTTAAAAAAAACATTTGTGTCGAACTTTGATGCGACGAACATACGGTCGTGTCGAAGTAAAAACGTCTTCACTGCGTACTCTGGTTTTAGTGATCGCATAGGATAGTTCGAAGTATTTAAGGAGGTCCATTCAACATCGACACTGAGGTGTTTGAATGTATATGTAACTGTAGCTTCGAGGGTGTTTAGGACGGAGCTCTGCACAGGTAGCAGTAACACCCTTTTTGAAGCGGTCGGTGGGGTAGCCTAGTGGTTACAGCGTTCGCTCGTCACGCCGAAGGCCCGGGTTCGAATCCCCACATGGGTACAATGTGTGAAGCCCATTTCTGGTGTCGGGGCGGTGGGGTAGCCTAGTGGTTAAAGTGTTGGCTCGTCACGCCGAAGACCCGGGTTCGAATCCCTACATGGGTACAATGTGTGAAGCCCATTTCTGGTGTTCCCCGCCGTGGTGTTGCTGGAATATTGCTAAAAGCGGCGTAAAACCATACTCAGTCAGTCAGCCTTTTTGAAGCCGTCGACAACGTCACGTGATGTGTTTCCATTAGCAACATTCAGCTTGTAGACATTTATTGTGATTTATGATGTTTGCTGGATGTCGGGTCGGGGATAATATCAAGGAACTTTCTTTCATGCTTCTTTGTCATCTCCGTCAGAGATAACCCAATGTTAATGGATTCTTCTCACGCATTTTCCAATCCACGTGTGGTAAGCTTTTCAAGTATAGCTATATTATTATTTATTCAAAATACAATATTAAGATCTATTGTTACGACTTCGTTTGTATTTAAAGAATCTTCACAGAACAGCTTCTTCAATGTAATGTCTCAATGACATTGTGTTTTAGAAACATTCTTACCAGCTTCTGCTCTGAGGACGGAATGTCGGGGAATAGGATATGGTACTTGCTTTAGTTCTGCCTTACCTTTAGACTCGGGTCGGATTCAGTACACTGTGCCTGGATTTTGCATCCATGTACAACGGAGTAATGGTATCTTAGTGAGCGAATACTAGAACATCTCGGTGCACAATGAGCAATTTTCACAGTTTTAGGAGACATCTGTGTTTGTAAATTAGAGTACAAAATTACGGCCCACTTGCACAGAACGATCTTAGCACTACAATTATTGTAAATCCTTAAGATCGCGATCTTAGGCTTCGGCTACAACCGCCATCCAATTGCACAAATCAGTTGTACGCTAAGATCATTGTAAGTTACAATCAAAACTAACAATTGGTCCGGACCAATTGTAAGAAGCTACGATCATTGTAATCTGTGACAAAATGGCGTTCAAATTAGTGTCTGTTACACGCAAATAATCAGCTTTACGTTTGGAGATTGCCTCTATAGATCTATTGCATAAAACTGTATGATTCGCCTCGACACTTCAACAACACGGAGAATGCACAACCGATTTAACGTCGGATACATTGTTATTTGCTGTAGCGAACCACATAACTATCGAGTCGATATCACAAAGTACTATTCCCACCCGATTCAATGTTGGAATAAATGTGAAACAACATACCTTTTTTGATAATCAAGGACAGGATAATAGCGAATGGTGTCCGCGTGCGATTAGCAATGACCGTGACCTTTTCAATAACTCAAGGGCAGCTAATCTTAGTTTTTACGCAATATGGGAGTAGTTTCCCTTGGTATATCATGCCGTTGTCGTAGGGTCTGCCATGCCAAATGTATTTAATGTTGTGACATCGCTGAGCTCCACATATATTGTTTTCGGTCACATTCGTGTCATTGACTTTGTCTTAGTTTATCATTAAAATAATCTACAATTAGATAAAGTGCCAAAACAAGTTATTTCTCATTCTTAAATCTAAATTTGAGTCGGACAAGAGGCAAAGGTTTTTAATCTATACAGTTTAGATATAATACAAGCATTCATCAAACAGGGAAATACACTTGTTGAGGCATTTGAAAGTTGTGTAAAACAGAATTTCACAATAAGAAAAAACAGTTATCAACGAAATAGGGTTAAATAATTAACACACTGTGAATAGGTATTTAACAACACACACTACACACACGAAATATTATTTATGATTCTTATTTCCCTGTCATGCATTTTCCACAACCCTCCAGTAGTCATGTCACCTTTTCATATCTTTACAAAACCAATACTTGTGGGATATATTTGGGATTGTACTCCAAATCTCCCGAACAGATGTGTCCTAAACGATCTCATAAAAAGGAAATTTGTTTTATATTATATGTTTTTATTTTCATAATTATTAAGTCACTAAATCTAAATCCAAATTTATTCATGCATTTTTTCGTACTTCAGTATTTTCATAAAACCTGAGTAGGTATTTATGTGGTTGCAATATCACATTATTAGTTCATTAATCAAGACAGTTAGAATGTAGAAAAATATATGTTATCTTTCACATAATCGTTTCCTTCAAAGAGTTGTGGGATTATTTTCATGAAAATTCTGCAAGGTGCGATTGAGGGAGGTATGTGTTGTGTGCAGTAACCAGTTCAACTTTTTATTTGCGCAGCATGCTATGCGCACTTGCAGACAACCGTAGATAGGAGTCGAGTTTAAGAAATTCGTACCTCCACCGTTGAAGAGTACGATCTTAGCTAAGATCGCGATCTTAAATACATGCCGTCTTACAATCGTGCTAAGATCGGCTTTGTGCAAGTGGATTAAGGCAATTCTATGTTGATTGTAAAGTTGATTGTAGGGGCCTGAGATTGATTGTAACACTTGTTCTGTACAAGTGGGCCCTGATAGTATGTAATCTGGGCCACGAGGAGGCTATCTGTTTTTCGATCTGTTTTTCGTGTCGTTATTCTTCAAAATGGTAGTACCCGTGAATACCCGTATTATAATTTGTCTTCAACCATCCCTATTGGGGATCCATACGAAAGATTCGGGTTGCCTGGCAGGCTCGCTGGCAAAAGCTCATGATGCCAATCACTGGTTTGTTTTGTCCAAACTCAATTATTTACAGACCGTAGTCATATAGCCGGAATTGGTAATTATTTAATTAATTACAATGTTGATGTTTTATGCCTCTTCCAGCCAAATACATAGCGATCAAAACAGTCATCCTTATGTAACGAAGTGATTTTCGTGTGTTGCTTTTTAATAAAGACAGAATTCAGTGGACTTGGGTCACTCGGCTGGATAGTGAATGCTCGTATTCATCTGACGTCACACGTGTAAAGTTCTAAACTGTCGGGTTAGAGGAACGCTAAAACATTACAGGGTGTGAACAATTGCATGTTGTAATGCATGTAATATAGCCTAAAGTACCTGTATCAAATGCATAGCCATGAATTGTATTGGCTGTACTCAAACATGGGTTTGTACTTCCTATAGACCTTGCTGTTCAGAGGACCCAGTCAGTATAATTTTAGTTACACGGCGTTTTCAAAGGGTGTACAGAACTGGAGACCCTTGTAAATTCATAAAGGGAGATAACTCGGGATAACTTAGTTAAGAAATACAGTTCGCCCTACCACCATGTATTTGTAATCAATCTTTATTCAATCTTTATTCATACGTCCGAATGCCACAGGCCCATAATATTCACGAAAGAACATAGTACACAATACATCATAGAAAAGAATAAAAATAGTCAAATCAAAATATACTTTCATATCGCAATCAAAGGTGTATCACAACATATAACATCGACATTACAATACTCGCACAGGGCTAACTGAACATGGTTATTGAAGTAGCGAACACGGATATAGCGTACAAACGGATATAGCGAACCGAAATTTCTTGGTCCCTTGGTTTCGTTATATTCGTGTTCTAAATTATTTTTTACATCTGTGATTAACGTAAACCATATGGGGCAATATGAACGTCGCATTTCTACTACCAACGTAAGTTTAGATCAGTACATCCAGATGAAGCTGAGTTGTCAAGCGACATTTCACGATTGCATTGTGGGAATGTTAACATTGCGAACGTTACCGTGTCGCTGAAACCTTTGAGTTGAAATGAGACATTTTAACCGTCGGAAAACATAACGTGATGTTAGCTGCGTGAAGCAACTGCAATCCAAGAAACGGGATGCAACAGCTGGCATGCTGTAGGAGGCTGTACGAGGCGATGACAACTGCATGCATTGTGACGTCGCTTACATTGCAAACGTAATGATTGATGTCTTTCAGTCGCATTTAGAAGTTGTACGTTGATGTCCAAAATAGTTTTATAGATTAAACTTCTTTTTAATTTCCCTCACGACGTTTCGAGACCATTCCAGATCCCTAGATCAGCGCTAAGATAGTCGTAAGTGCCATACATTAACATTACCTTGCGACTATCTTAGCGCTAAGAGAGCTTCGAAAACTTTCAGCATCTAGGCCCAGGTCCCTTCATCAGGTGGACTGACAGTTAGGACTATGACTTCGTCACTATGACGTCATAACTGACATCACCACTAGGGAGAGTACAGTATAAGTGAGGTGGAAGTGTTAATTACATAATGATGAAAATTCATGCTAGATAACAGAGTTGAAAGTTGAATTGTCGATACACAACAACTGCTAATTACACAAAAGTTACTTGATAGCAGGCTTTCCGAAAAGTAAAAGTAGGCTTTTTATTTATCTAAAGTTCATCAAAAGTTAATCAAGAGATCCCAAGCTTGGCAGGTAGACACCTTGATCACGATTCATTGCTGGTTTATGTCTCCTTATCTCAACAACTTCCTGTAGTTTTCTCCGACGCCAGTCGTTGTTATTTCTCGAAAGCACCCTGATGTCATTCCACATGATTACATGACATGGTTTATTTGCCTTGTGCTCTGATATAGCTGACTTATCATTTTGTTTGCATAATGACGACTTGTATTCAGCAACCCGGGTGTTGATGGGCCTGAGGGTCTCGCCAATATATTGATCGCCACAGTTGCATGGTATTTGGTATACACATCCTCTAGGGTTGGCGCTTCCATTGCTAGATCCTCTTCCATTTGCCCGGAGGAGAGCAATATGA